AAGGAAGTACTTCAGCGCTCCAATACTTGCAAGGAAGGATGATAATGATGTATAACATAGTTAGAGAACAAAAGTAGGCAGCTGATCGACTTAATTCGTGTTTAAAAGGTCACTATTATTCAGCTGTCCATTTCCCCGTTTAAGAGCCATAAGTTTCAAAATCTAATATGGCTCTCGAAAATGAGTAACTGGGGTCATATTTTTGGGTGGTAATTTTTTGATGTATCGCTTTTGGTTTTTGGCTGACACTCTCATTATTTCATCGAGCCTACCACAAATGGAGACTGGATCTGGCTCGGGATCCGAGAGCCATCACTACAATAGTGTTTTAATTATTTTTGAACAAACTGTAAAAACTAACTCGAGTCTCTAGCCAATACTTGGCTAGAGGGGATTTCATCTGGAATACTGTGAACTCCATTTGAAAAAAGCTGGCCGCCGTGTCATAATTTTATTGAATATTTTAAGAATCGCCAGATAAATAAATCATTAATCAAAATGGACCCCACTCAACTCCTTGATGAGATATGACATGATTTCATCAGGATTTCGTCTAAAATTAAAACAAAATGGCTCCAAGAAAAATGGCGATGTTCGAAAACTGGACGAAATGTCGTTAACGTCTGACATTAGTAACTGGCTGTAAATTCTAAGTTAGCGATCCAGAAGATGTGAACTAATACACTGATCACTTTATGTGTGTTTTGGAATTTTTGTTAAGACCAAATCTCGCAATTTAAATTGTGATGTGGAAAAATGGCGGACATATGATTTCAAATTTTATGATTACGACATGACCAGTTGTTCATGCAGGAATATATCTTTACTGGAAGGCCACCTTTCCCCTTTATTTTGATACCAAACAACAGCATGCTAGGTACTTAAAATTAGGTAAACTTTACTCCTCAAAAGTGCAAAAACTAATTAGCTTCTTATAAAAGATAAGATAATCACAATATAGGGGATTGCAACAATTTCGGAAATTCGCGAAGGTCAAAGCCACATTTGCGGGACTTCGCGGGACATTGCGGGACACGCGAATTAGCCTAATTTTGATCAAATTCGCGGGATAATCCCGCCATTCGCGGGACACTTGACAGCTCTGGTTAACAGTTTAACCACCAAAGACTTCATAGAGGGACAGATTTTTTAGACAAAGTACCCTAAATTTGCGGCATTTTGCGTGATTGGTAAAAGTACTCCAATCAAACTTTTAGATACTGATTAATCAAATATAAATCACTTAAATTGTAACTTAAATAAACGTCAACACAATTCCACACACTTTCCCCCATAGTATTATATATATATTACCTGTTCATATAGGCATGGGCTTTCAATTGAAAGTCCATGATATAGGGGTTCAATTAATCTACATCAAATTATAGAGAGTCAGGTTACTTTTCTAGAACAGTTTCTGCTCAGTTCTCATTTGCCACACGCATAGTAAAAAGGCCAACGTTGGAACTATTTATGACCTACATCCCTATTATCGTAATTAAAATGAAAGTTGAACCTTTCCTCTTTATTTTGATACCAAACAAAAGCATGCTGGGTACTTAAAGTTAGGTAAACTTTACTCCTCAAAAGTGCAAAAACTTCTTATATAAGATAAGATAATCACAATATAGGGGATTGCAACAATTTCGGAAATTCGCGGAGGTCAAGGCGGACATTTGCGGGACTTCGCGGGACATTGCGGGACACGCGAATTAGCCTAATTTTGATCAAATTCGCGGGATAATCCCGCCATTCGCGGGTCACTTGACAGCTCTGCAATATATATTGATAATTGTTCGCGATTTCAGATGATCATGATTTGTTTAATTAAAACGTGACATTTTCTTTACACTATGAAAATTTGAAACAATTATGCATGGAAAACTCTATTTACAGTGTCAATAATTGATAGCATGTAACCATTCAAACTAGAACATAAAGAAGATATTACAGGGTAAATAACGATCACTCCATGCTTGCGAGATTGTAAAGGTAAGTGCTGGCCGGGGGGGTCTTACTTCCTGCGAAAGCTATGTGGATTTTGATACAATAGCTTTCTCATGGCGCACTTGGACAGCTGAATAATAGTGACCTTTAAAATATGAATATTTCAGCGGCTTACTTTTGGTCTCTAACTGTGTCTTACATCAGTATCATCAATCCGTGCAAGTATTGGAGCGCTAAAATACTTTCTTTTTGATCAAGACTTGTAAATTGTTCATTGAGTGAATGTTTTTTCGACCCATTTCCAATATGGCGGTTCGCTAGGAGCGAGATACGCAACAAACTAAATGAATTTTGTGAATGATTAGGTTCAGACAACCTCCGGAGATTCACGGAAATGTCCGAGCAGAAAACGCCATATTGGAATTTGGCAGTAAAAACATTCATTCAATTACAAGTCTTGATCGAAAAGGAAGTACTTCAGCGCTCCAATACTTGCAAGGAAGGATGATAATGATGTATAACATAGTTAGAGAACAAAAGTAGGCAGCTGATCGACTTAATTCGTGTTTAAAAGGTCACTATTATTCAGCTGTCCATTTCCCCGTTTAAGAGCCATAAGTTTCAAAATCTAATATGGCTCTCGAAAATGAGTAACTGGGGTCATATTTTTGGGTGGTAATTTTTTGATGTATCGCTTTTGGTTTTTGGCTGACACTCTCATTATTTCATCGAGCCTACCACAAATGGAGACTGGATCTGGCTCGGGATCCGAGAGCCATCACTACAATAGTGTTTTAATTATTTTTGAACAAACTGTAAAAACTAACTCGAGTCTCTAGCCAATACTTGGCTAGAGGGGATTTCATCTGGAATACTGTGAACTCCATTTGAAAAAAGCTGGCCGCCGTGTCATAATTTTATTGAATATTTTAAGAATCGCCAGATAAATAAATCATTAATCAAAATGGACCCCACTCAACTCCTTGATGAGATATGACATGATTTCATCAGGATTTCGTCTAAAATTAAAACAAAATGGCTCCAAGAAAAATGGCGATGTTCGAAAACTGGACGAAATGTCGTTAACGTCTGACATTAGTAACTGGCTGTAAATTCTAAGTTAGCGATCCAGAAGATGTGAACTAATACACTGATCACTTTATGTGTGTTTTGGAATTTTTGTTAAGACCAAATCTCGCAATTTAAATTGTGATGTGGAAAAATGGCGGACATATGATTTCAAATTTTATGATTACGACATGACCAGTTGTTCATGCAGGAATATATCTTTACTGGAAGGCCACGATACAGTGGCCTTAGAAGAAGGTAAGTAAAAACAAATACAAGGGCAGAAAGGGGTTTACGGAAAAGACCGACCCCACCGACCACCGATCGGTCGGTGTTTTCCATAGGTAGCCTCAAAACAGGGTTTGAAAAAATATGTAAAAGACCGACCACTATGTAAAAGACCGACCAAAAGAAAAAAAGCCTGCCTTGACACTGACCAATTTTACAGGAAAACAATATTCCTGTTTCTGTCCGTACGTAGGCCTATGTCTGTTCGCCGTTTCCGGGCATTAACTCCAATATTACAGTAACAAGGCCCCCAGAAGAGAAAAATTCTAAATTCTTAATCACATTCCCGGTCCGGGCAAGTCCATGAAGTTCGTAAAGTTGTAGCTACGTTCATCCAGTTCGGACACAGTTTAAAACCAGTTCGGCAACGTTTTAAAGAACGCAGTGACAACTTGTTTGGTGTGATAGCTATATTTGTTAATTAAGCTGTAAACGGAACAGGTTGGTGTACTCACGACCTGAATTTACGCCTGACTGCACAACGTCGTAATACGTTTCTAGTAGGATGGAAGTTCGCCGTGTGTCCAGATCGTTCTGCGTTCTTTAAAAACGTGGTCACTCGTTCTGATTACTAAGTTCTGGATGACCTACTCGTTCCAGGGGCGGATCTGGGAACCAACAAGGGGGGGGGCTCAAACTTCTGGTCTGAGAAAAAACGTCCTAAAATTTGGCTCAAAACTTTTTTTGGGCCCAATTTTTTTTTTCTGGGCCAACCCGAGGGCCCCCCCCCCCCCAGATCCTCCAGTGCGTTCGGGTAGTTTGATAATGGAGAGGTTAAGCAATGCATATAAACGTATGTACACAACTTGTATGTATAAATCGTCCTATGCATGTAGTTTTCTCACATAAACAATCGTTCAGTTACAGTGTTTACTTAGTCCGTTACTTAGGCTACACATCATCTAAGTATGAAAATGGTTTCGATGGATCCAGAACTTGCATCAAAGGAAAGAATAGTAAAGAGGTTAAACTCAATAACAGCCCCAAGAAAATTCCTAATAGTAAAGAACGCCGTTATTGAGTTTAACGACATTGAACTATATGATACTTTGCATCGAAATCAAAATTGCCAGCATAGTACCCAATAAACATGAGTATAATGATTCCGGTTGACACCAACGTAAAATTGAAAATCTCCCGTTGTAAACAGGAAAATAAAGCTGATCTGATATCTGAAGTAGACTAAGTAGCGCTTGCTTTTTATGGGTGCTATATACATTACTGTATTAATTCATTGACTTTGCGTTCACGGTTACGTTGCGAAAAACATCGCTAGCTTAACCTCTCCAAAGTTTAAACGGACCCTAAACGGTTCTTGGTACGTTAAATCCGTTCTTGCACAGTTAAAGTCCGTTTTCGAGAACGTAGTGAGAACTAGTTTGGTGTGATAATAGGGTAAGAGGAGTCCCACTACGTTGAAAAACGAAAGCAACTAGTGATTATGTAAAAAACCGAACGCCGACCAAGCACCGACCTCTCACCTCATGGACCCAACTGTGGAGAGTGACTGGTCGGTGGTCGGTCTTTTCCGCAAACCCGGCAGAAAGAGGGCAGAGGTCTGTTTTATATGGAGTTCACAGCATATCTGGAATGGTTTCCCACCATATTGGAATCCGATATATTCCCAATACACGCCAAAAACCTGATACACACGTTATACTTTGTTATATTGCTTTAATTACCATATTATTACTTACTTTTTGAACATCTTGATTTTTTTATTTTTCCAACATGGATACCGTAAATGAATAAGAGCCGGATGGTGAGATGTCGTAAAGGTTCAATATCATATATCCTTTAAAAGACAAATAGACCATCCAACTATATATAAATCTCAAAAATAAATCACTCTTGTAATGAAGTTTTTTAACTTTCGATTTGAAAATTAGAGAACAATTGCGATATTAAAGTCAGAAGTCAGTCGCACTTCCGGGTTCTAACTTTTGATTATTTTCTGGGATTTTCATTCTTTTCCATACCGTTTGCTGCCAAAACTGTGGCAAAATATTGTTTTATCATGCCAAACCAAGGAAGGACATTTAGGGACTCGGCAGATGCATTCAAAAGGACTGGAATTCCATGGTAAGCGGATAAATTAGTCTTGTGATTAAAAATCATTCAAAGAAAATCAAATATACAGTTGGGGACATAAATAAATGACAGGTGGATTTGCTGAAGTGAGGATTTCCCATGTTAAAAATAAGAGAATTTACAAGAGGCCATAAATCAGTGGATGAGATTATACAAAATGTAAAATATACAAATTTTAAGGGATATGTATCAGTGATCTCCCCAGCATAAAGCAAGTGGGCGCAGCACCCACCTGAGATTTTGAAAATAGGCTTGCACCCACCTGAAAATCCATTTGCACCCACTTGAAAATGAGAAAAATCATAAAAAATTGGCATATTTTGACCAATTTTAGTCTGAATTGTGAAAATGAAAATTTTGCACCCACCTGAGAAAAAATCCTGGGGAGATCACTGTGTATCTAGACAATATTGGAAATTATGGGCTTTCAGACCACCATAATTAGGAAATGGTGATCGAAAATCGACCTGTCATTTATTTTTGTCCCCAACTGTACAAAAATAGACTAATAAGGACCCTCCATTCACAGTCAGCACTCATCAATGGTATACTCTACCTTTAGTAATATAAGAGAAAAGTTTGAAAGGTCTTTGTCACAATATTTACCGATCCATCCACTCCCTCCAATATGCATGCGCAGCCACGGACATCTAATACGTTCTTCGAACTGCCCTGGAACTATATCTATACCAGGACTGGCATCCAGATCCAAGTATTTTTTAAGACCTCCGACTCTCGTTGGGCTATTTATCCCTATTGACTCAGTTGTTCATATAAATTTACGTACCTTAGATGCTTTGTAATCAACGTAGATAGAAAATATTGTTTCCTAAATTGTTCTGAAAAGCGATAATTATTACTAAATGTACTTTGAACAGGTCGACTGACCAAAAAGTCGGACTTCTGGCACAAGGTCACGTGACCAAATAGAATTTGTATAGATAAAATTGATGACGTCACCGCAATCGGTGTAGGTCAGGTCAAAAGTCATCCATCTTGCCATTTGCCCAGCGTATTCTTACCAGTCGACAAAAAACGATGAAATCACGTTGAAAATAAAATATACACTTTAAAATTGAGGCTGATTGAATATGACAAGACTCCATTGAATACAGCTGTGCAATTTACAGTCACCAAGATGAGCTAATTTCGGAGAGATTCAGTGAGATTCGGGAATTAAAAAAGGTAAGCCCTTCCGGTTTCCTAACTTCAAGTATTTGAAATCCCAGAATTTCGCCAGAAACATTCTCTCTGACTGTGTGCGCAGCCCGATGTAAAAAATAAGGCCGTGGCTGGATCGAGAGCCTAAAATTTTAAGGCTCTTTAGCATTTTGGTAACTCATTTGGCTAAAGATCCTTAACTTTTAATGTTCTTTAGCATTTTGGCTAGAGAGCCTTAAATTTTAAGCCTCTTTAGTTACTCGAGTCTCTAGCCAATTCTTGGCTAGAAGTGTTTCCATCTGGAACACCGTGAACTATTGTAAAATCTTAAGCCGGCGTTCAATGAATTTATGTAATATTCTAAAAATCATTCTGTTAATATTTCATGAATTGAAATGATAACGGCTTATCTTACTGATGAGATATTGAATGTTTTCATTTAAAATAGACGTCGTCTCGTTCTCCATTTTGAAAGCATGTCTTTTTTCCGCTATAGCGATTTAGTCAAGATGGCTGCGTGTTGTAAAAATTTCCTTCAGTTTTGTGAATAAATATCCTGCGAAGTAGACCAATTTATGAAATAGGACTACGTGTAAAGATCAATGAAGGTGAGTTTATTATGTTTACATCAATAAAAATAAGACGGCTTGGCAATTTAAGGCAAATTCAAAACAACAAAGAGTGTCTTATTTATATTGTATGGCCACACTCAGTGGCCATATAATATGGTAACTCTTTAGCATTTTGATTGCCAATTTTGCTAGAGAGCCAGCCTAAAGGAATTCTAAGCGATGGAAATGACAAAATATTGCTTCTGGGACAAGATCAAACAACTTTGACATATTTTTACCCAACCTATTTTGTAATTTAACAATCAACACAAATTAACATACTATATTGAAGCAGATAGCGGAGATATTCATAAAAATATATTTTTTGATCAATAAACTCACCGATTATTAAACCAGAAGTGTCTTCTCTGAGGTCCGGGAAGAAAACAAAGAAGAAAACATACAAAGATTTTAGTCGTTTCAATTTTGCCGTGGATTTGATTTTAAATGCTTCTAAATGATCTTTGAATGCTTACTTTGACTTCCTATAAGAACTGTTTTGACTTCCCCACTTCATAAAAAGAACATTATCACTTTTTACTTGACTCATAAATTTACTTCCGGTCTACCGAAAAAAAAAAAGAAGTTCTTAGAACTTTTTCAATCCTCAGTCTAAATTTGGCTTTTTAAAGGTTCAGTAACTTTCGTGGTGCTGCAACTTGGAGCAGTCATATACTTGTTCAATTTTACTAATCAGTAAATATTTTGATGTATAAAATAGGCCCTTTGGAGAATGGTGTTGAGCTCACATTTATTGATGCCCACTTGGAGGCTAGCCTAAAAAACGTTGATACAAATGAAGGACTTTTGAGGGGTGAGTTTTTGCAAAAAATTGAAAAAATATTTTGTGCCTCTTGTCATTTGAAAATCCTAAAAAATCGGCATTGGAATCTAATAGGCAATAGATTTGGAAGTGTATTCTCTGATGTCCCCGGGTTGATGTCCCTACATTCCCAATAAACTGCATCATGATGTGATGTATCTATAATATAACAAGATCCTTTTCTTCATCCCAAAGTCTCCTTCATACTTTTTGCCACCTTCAAATGGGATTCCCCATATTCTGTAAGCTTGTGAATATAGTAAAGCCAATACAAGCGATTAATTTCACTAAACATGGATGGTTGAGCGTTGGAGTGAGCCCATGAATTTTTTAAAAATTATGTACATAATTTCTGGACCTCAGAGAACAAACTTCCGGTTTGTTGTTCATAATGAAAAAAATTGTACCAACGTGGAATCTACGCCGTGGGAGTACTAGGCGAACGCCATAACCACGACACTAGAGAGTGTTTTTTTTGTAAAAACTATATTTCAATAATAAAACATATATAATTAATATAATTATACATTATACATAGGCCAAGTTACATTGTTTAATTTCTGTACAGTTTTTCTTTTTCAAAATATGCATCTATACTTCCAGTTTTGTCTCTATTGAAAATTTGTATTGCTCTCTTGGCCATTAAAACTTCTTTATAATTCTTATACTTATTTATTCCTATAATTTGTTCAAAAGTGATATTATCAAAAAATTTCCATATATCCCTTATTTTTGTACACTCATAAAAATTATGTTTAACATTGTCAATTACATTACAATTTTCACAAAAAGAACTTTCTCTAATTCTTAAACCATTTAAATCTCATTACATGGGTATACGTTGTGTAATATTTTCCAGTGAATAATTAAGAGTTTGGTATCTACTTTGCACTTAAATGCTCCTTATGCCAAGTTGCACATGAAATATCCTTACCATTATAGTTTAAAAACAATTTTCTTTTATCTTTACATAGTTTTCCAAAATCTGATGTTTCATAAAATGTTATCTCTTTACCAATTAAATATACTAGAGTGGCTTGTACATGCAAAAAATTTAAGGCTCTTTAGCCGAAGTGCTAAAGAACCTTAAAATTTAGGCTGTCCAGTCACGGCTTTATTTTTAACATCGCTGCACATGCGTATTGGAGGGAGTGGAGGGATCAAGTGAGAATTTGGACCAACTTTTGCAAGTTTGACCAGGAAATCACCTTTAATTTGATATGAAAGTAACTTTTTTGATCATATTGGTATGTAAGAATCATATACATGTTGAGTTATAAGCATAAATGTCACAGTATGAAGGATAAATGTAAATGTAAACACTTCCGGTAAATATTCTGACAAAGAGCTCTCTGACTTTTCTCTTATATTACTAAAGGTGGATTGATAGTGCTGACTTTGCCTCCATTGGTCTGAATTCCATTGGTCTGAATCCCAATTGTCCGAACCCAAATTGTATGAATCTCATTGTCTGAATCCCAAGTGTCTGAAAGTGAAACCCAACCGTCCAAATCCCATCTGTCCTAATCCTACATGTAATTGTCCGAATCCTGTTCATCCGAATCCCATTCTTCTTAGAATCCTAAAGATCTGAGAAATTAACAATTGTCGATATGATAGGGGAATATCATGATAGAAAGGCTTTGCATACTGTTTAAGCTCAATTTATCAAAAATCTCCATTCTTTTCCTTTAACCAAATCTATGACATTTCTCTCTTTTATGTGCAGCCAGTCTAAGTGATATGTGTTCAAGCAAACACAAAAAATAAGGCTTATGTATGTTGGGTAATAACGTATCTAATTTAAACATTCAAATTCAAATGTTGAATGTTCTTAAAGAATCCGTAAAACAAGAAAATAAGTTGATTTACCATTGAACCCATTTCAAGTTTCCAAATACTACAGTGTCTTCAATTCATGTAAAGCTTTATGAAATGGAATTGGAATGTTTCACTGCACAAACTTTGTATTGTAATCTTAATAGACTTTATAGACAGGGGGATTCAATAATGGCTTCATGGGTAGTTATCCAACCAGGCAATGCTCAAGTTCTTGAAAGCAAGGAATGAATAAGTTTGATGGGTGTTAGTCTTGCTTAAAAGACCCTGTACCCCCCCCCCCCTTTATCCTTCTCTCTGTATTTTGCCAGGTAAAGAGAGTGAAGGTGACGGCGGGGGAGGGGGGGGGGTGGATACAGTCTTTGAGCAAGACTAGATGGGTGTTTCATTTTATTTTTATTTTCTACACTCGTTGGACAGAATGTCAATGCTCAAACATTTATTTTCTCAGAAATGAGGCACAGAACCATCTCTCAGGTTTTACCATGGATCAAAAACATATTGAATATTTAAATAAATTTGATGAAAATCACTGTAGTGCTTTTGGTAGAAAATGGGTCTCAAACATGATGAAATTGCCACTTTCAGCAACTTTCAGAAGATTTTTAACATGGTAGCAAATGGGCATCAGAAAATGGGGTAGGGGGGGGGGGGCGAGTCTAAATGTTGAGGGATTGAGCTGAAATTTTTTTTATAAGTTAGGGGCATGTAAGTGGTTATTTCCTTTAATTAGCACTAAGATCTGAGAAAAAGTTGAAAAAATGATCCACCCTAACCGAGTGGGTGGCTCCCTTTAATGCAAAACCTGTGAAATAATCTAATGCATATTCATTTCAGTGGAGATCCAAAGCGGTATGCTAGTGTATCTGTTGTACGCACTACACAAGATATGACAGGTCCCCCTAGAAAACGTGCACTTGATGAACCCGAGGAGAACATCGAAACTGAAGGAGAACGCCAACTGAAGAAACTTCTCGACAAACAGCTTAAAACAAATGTTACATTGGAGGAGTAAGTAAAACATACTGAGTCAATGTTTATTTGAATATCATGGGTTTTACGGACATGTTGGAAGTGACTTCCTTTGACAAAAATTGAGAGCCCTGCAATCTTATGTAATTTTAAGCCAACTTGTCTCTTAGAATAAAAGCAAAAAATGAGTTCAAATACACATACATGTATAAAACATTTCCAGTTTCTCACATAACTTTACTCAACTTTTATTTCTAATATTCCAGACATTTAGCACGTAAGAAGACATTTAGCCAGCCAGCTGTTTATAAACCAGGCACCAAAGAGCTAACAGGATCCCTCAGTCTTGCTGAGTATAAGGACAGAGCGAGGCTTGATGGCATAGAGCAGGAACTCAGACAATATGGCCTTACTGAGGATGAAATCTACATCAAGTTACAAGCAGAAACTGACTCTGAGTCTAATAACCAGGTGAGATATAAAATATATATACAGTATGAATATTCAAGTTTGGTATAAATATATGGACGAGACTATAAATGTATAGGTGAAGTACATGTACATTGTACATGTATACATATTCAGTTGGGATAACGATTTATAGGTGAGGTATACCATATAAAGGTGAGGTATACATTCATAGGTGAGGTATAAATACAAAGGTGAGGTATACATTTATAGATGAGGTATATGTGAAGTTTAAATGTAAGTGGTGTTGAGGTATATTGGTGAGGTATGATGGTATGTAAATGCACTCCTTATTCCTAAAAGTCAAGATGCTATCTTGATTATTTCTCAATATCTCACACCTTGTCAACCATGAGATTGCTTACATATGATACATCATTGTGTGAAGGGGGAGACATGATACTGTCAGTAAGCTCATGTTTTTACCATGGCTATATATACTATTTATGAATCTGAATCAGATCTTGTATCAGCTTTAAACTATACCAAATGATGTTATATATATTCTATTTCTATAAGTATGTTAGTTAACAGTGACAGTTAATAATTGTAATTCATTATTACAGGTAGATCCCAAAAAGAAGAGACTGGGAATTGATCCTTCAATACAAAAGGCGCAGCTTAAAATCATTGAAGATAAAATACAAGCAAGAAAGCAGGAAATATCTAAACCTACTAGATTCCATGGAATAAAAAAGCTGACTCGTCAAGAAATGGACTTCGAAAACTCCATCACACACGATGATAAAACCAAAGCTTTGAATATGTTAATAACTCGTGGTGAATCCCAAAATGATACTACTCATCCAGATGACCCCATTAACCACTTAGATACATTACTTGATGATGTTTTGGTTAAAACGAAACATCAAAAGAGAAAGAAATATACGGAAAAAGAAGTTTCTAAAATTGAGGCACCTAGTTCAAGCTACCCTGCTTGTGAGTGGCAGACCACTTGGGAACATCCAAATTTGAATGACTGGAAAAATGCTCCGACTTGTGCTGAGAGGCCAGGGTCGAAGCAAGGTGAAAGGTCAAGATCACCATCAGATATAGAATCTATACCAGAGGATATAATACGCAAGTTTAGGCTCTCTGCGGATGAGATAAGAAATATTGATAGATTTAAAGACTACTCCCCAGGTGACCCTAGTAATGTAAGTTGGATTGTTTATTAGTCCATTCTTCCAGAATTTGGCATTATTTGACCCACTTGGAAATATTGATTATAAGCACTGAGTTCATTTCTAGTATAGAAAATATTGATCTTATAATCATGTATGAATGTTGACTGGTCTGATATTATCCCGTACCAGGACTATAGGCCTGCAGTGAGAGCATTCTTTTGCCTGTTAGTATGATTACAACATGGGAGAATTTTCTACGCTTCTTACACTTAAGATACCTATTTCAATAGATTCCTTGGTATTTTAGCATTCTTTTCTTGTAGTTGAATCCACAATTGTCTGGGTTTATTGGCGGAACAAAGAAATTTTCGTTTTTAATCACAATATTTGCGTGTAATATTTAACTTATTTCAACCGTCAAATTCCTCCATTTTTGGTGCTTCCGGGTCAGTCAAACGGGGAATCCCCTTTTAAATCCAACCACCATCTTGGAAAGTGATGGAATATCTCTCGATGAAAAAGAACAATGTTCCCGTTCTGCCGATATACCCAGACAATTGTGGATTCAACTACACGAAAATAATGCTAAAATACCCAGGAATCAATTGAAGTAGGTATCTTAAGTGTAAGGGGCGTAGATAATTCTCCCAAGTTGTAATTGTACAGGCAAAAGAATGCTCTCACTGCAGGACTATAGTCCTGGTACGGGATAAATCTGATATACAGTATATGCTTTGCCAAAGCCTGGGGTCTGTCTTTGGAAGCACTTTCATACTTAAAGTAGGACTGTGTTACTGTATTAGTTAAGTTTGTCTTTTGTACCCTAATACCCTATAAGGGGTGAATTGAGAAATCAATCAATAAATAAATAAAATTAGATACTAAACAGTAATACCTGTTTGCTTTTTAATTTGCACCTCTCTTTCAAATAGACTCTAGTCATTAGTGGGAAATTCTGGTATAAGAATGGAACATGAAAATCAATGAAAGATATTGACGTCTGTTAGGGCTAACACAACCGAATGCTATAACATGCATATTCCCATACAGACAATCTGTCTTCCAGAGAAAACTAAGGTTTGTGGACATGTTTTGCTACCATGCCTCTGTCAGTCATAAAAGTTTGAACCAAAACTACCCACGAAAGTCAAAAGATCTCACCTGTTGAATATGCCATCTATAGAAAATGTCAAAAATTGTCACTCTGATTTTGACAGATTGGAGGCAGGTCAAAAAGGTCAAATTTCTTAAAGAAAATGCACCTCCATCACATCAAATCGTGTGTTAGAGTTGGTCCATACATACACTTTTTCATTCATGAACTTACCAAAATCCAACCATTGGTGATGCTAATATAATAATTACAATTGGACTATATTCTTGTTTTTAAAATGCCATCTATTCGTCTTCTCACTCGGCGGAAGGATCATTAAGTTGTGTGTCCCCTAGTAGATTCTACATAAATGGACTGCTTGTGACCTTGCACTGCATCATATAACTGGCTTCTTACAAAATTTATGCAGTTGATTTGGTCATTGTATGAACTGGTTTATTCTGTCTTAGATTTCCTAAAAGCAGATTTTAAGTTACAAAATAAATTGTGTGGGATTCTATCTAGTCTATATATTTTAAAATGGCATATTCCAGCACTATAGAGAAAAATGTTGACATCTTGTGAATAACATCCACTTTATTTGTTATTAGGTGTTGTATGTGAAGAACCTGTCAGCCAGAGTCACACATGAGGACCTTGTCTCTCTGTTTATCAGATATCAACAAGAAGGACAACCTAAGATTGGCTTCAAGCTAATGTCTGGGAGGATGAAAGGACAGGCTTTTGTCACTTTTCATGGTGAGCTGAGATTTTGAATTTCTCAATTTTATTACATGCTGTTAACCATTTCACATATCCTTTTTAGGCAAACTGCCTCATTTTTATCTACAAAGCATTAACATGACAAAATGTCACCACCAGTTGCTCACAATATTATGAATCTTTTTTTGACCTTGAGAAGGTCATTTAAGGTCAACATCTAAAATCTATAGTCAGATTTGAAGTTTTGAGAACTTGTAGATGATTTTGGTCAATTTGAGGAAAGTTGAAAAATGACCTTTTGACCTTTTTAAACTTTTTTTGACCTTGAGAACATCAAATCTTAAATATTAAGTCAGATTTGAACTTAAGAAAATTGTAGATGATTTTGAATACCAACCGCCATCCACCGATCGCCGTCACAAAAAAATGGAGACCACCACAATATGTCACCACTTTTTGGTGGTGACATAATAATTCCCACTACAGTATAATTCCTTTTCTATACCGATTTTTATTACTGATTTTATTCAACTCTGTCTTGTCAGAAGGAAATGGGTCTCATCACAATGCTACATATTTTTTATTATAGACAAACCTCAGTAACATGTTGACCTCATTTCTTTACAGGAAGTATATGTAGGCCTACTACTTCTAGTATTTTAAAGTTTCATATTCAATGCATTTCCTCCATTTCAAACTGCCTCTTTCTTTTGCTGAGACTTTTATTAGGTGTGATAAGATCCCCTTTCTTGTAATGTCAAGAATATGATTCATATATTGATGTCTTATCATAACTCCCATTGCAGATACAAAGACTGCCTCAGAAGCTATGGATCTCATACATGGTTATCAGTTCAGAGGAAAACCTGTCATAATACAGTATGGCAAGAACTGTGGCAGCAAGTAAATCAAGGACATTGTTGAACTAAGACACTGACAAATCCCACCCACTAAAGGTTCACCTTCAGACTCATTTTGACTTACTTCAAAAACAAATAAATAAATCATCTTGATACAGATATATTTATTGACATTTTTCATTCTCATATTTTATACAAAATGTACATGATATCTTAGAGATAATAAAATGCAGTGTTCAATATATACAATAGTCTTTATAATTTAAAATTCATTGTGGCTAATATGGTAGAAAACTTGTAAATGGTATTTTTGTAAATGTACATTTATTGAATTTTTGCCCAAGATCCTGCCAGTGATCCTGACATTAAGAAATGTAATGCAAAAATCCTTGTCTGTGCATTTTGATTGAAAAAATTTAAAAAGCAATTCTAATCATCTGACTTATTGGTGATGTCAAATATCTTCCATGTTTTAGCAAACTTTAAAACTTTTTGTCTCTGATCCTCAAAACTTTCCCGTGGTGGCTTTTTCCATAATCTGACATCACAGTCAATCATTCCACCAATTATTTCACGTCCAAAATAATGTGGAAAAGTCTGCTCATCTTCTATAACATGAGCAAAGCCACTCTGAAGTCCAAAATCGACGCTAAAGTATGGGAAACCTTTGGGGATTGCTCGACGGACATCTCTGTTTTTTAGGTCAACTACCTTTTTGTTCTGGGCCCATTCACTCTCACACTCCATTAGGGCCTTCTGCAATCAGACATGGTTGAACAGTATAATAGGATATAATATCAGTAGTTACTAGTTATATTGTTAAATAAATGAGGGGCAGAGTCCACTTTAAAAGTTTCTCATTTCTATAAATGAGAAGTTTTGATTTGAGTAAATAGTGGATGAACTGATGCACTTGATACAAGACTCATATATATCAAGTGAACACTGTAATATCATTGCAAAGTGCAAAGAAAAAAACAATATTTGAATGTTCCAGAAGCTAAAGAAGACATGAGGCAGAAACCTCTTGGTAGGTTCTTTAACATATATACATGTAATACAATATACAGTTGAACCTGTATATCTGAACATCTGGCTAATTCGAACACCTCCCAATCTAAACACTTTTTTCGGTCCCATTTTTTCTTCCCATTGACTCCCATGTTAAAAAAACATAATCTCTAATTAATGTGAACACCTCTCAATTTGAAGTGTGCAGTCATATTTGAAAAATTAACCTGTCTTATCTGAACACTTTTCATAAAATTTCACATGTGTCATACAAAATAGTATAGTTTCTAAATAGCTAAATAAAGCTACATAAAGCTGACATAATAGATGTCACCTTTGTTCATCTTGGGCCAACCTTCCATTGAGTTCTATGCTAAAAGCTTGCAATAGTCACTTAATTTCATGATTTATCAAAGAGTGTTAGTTAAATCTGTCTGAAATTTGAATGGCATACTATTAAATGACCCTGTCAATGAACATATTGTGATTAAACATGAAAATGTTGGTTGTCATACGATTAAACCATGGTTTTAAAGAATTTTAGCATAACATCAATGGAGATTTGGCCCAAGTTTTTTTAAAATGTCATGGAGAATGATTTAAATGACCTAAATATGTAAATCAAAGCTTTTATTGTAGGAAACATATCACTGAATTCAAATATGCTATTAAAAGAAAGAAAAGTAAGTCATTAGAGGTAAAATGTGCAAATCTCTTAAAATCTCATGAAAAAACGAGAATTAGCGAGATTTCAAAATCATTTAGAAACTCCTCTATTGCTAAAATATTGTTATGATATCAAAACTTTGGGAAAAAACAGCATGACGAGATTCATTCATTTCAAATTTCTGAAATGCCGTAGACCATGTGATCAAATGAACGTGGAGAATGTGTTCACATTTCTTCAGAATCTGGAATCTCACGACTGCAAAAACCTCGAAATGTGAACACCTCCTAATCTGAAAGCTTTAAGCGTTCGGATAAGACAGGTTTTAGTGTACTTGTATATGCAGTTACAGAGCTCAAGTCACAAAACTGTCCAGGGCCTTACTTTGATAAAATGTATGTTCAGAAAATAAATCAGGAAGTTCTTAAGATAGGAGAGAACTTCGTAATTAAAGAAGACAAACATAAGAAACATTTCTGTAACGTTAAATGAAAACCTTTGTAAATGAAACAGTTCAGTCCTTTGACCACTTGATATGTGCTGTATGGTTCTAAATGTGTTCCACATTCACAGGTTTTTCTGGGCTTACCTTGAAATATATAGGAGCCATATCTCCAACCTCCCTCTCCATGGGTATACACTCTATCACCATATGCCTCTGTTGACGGAACTTCATGGCTGTTTCCATGAAAACACAATCTCTATCTTCCGTCTCAAACATCTTCGTGAGAGCTTTTCTAAATACCTTTAATAAAATTAATAATAAATTTTTTGTATGGGGGATATTTGTTTTATGATCCAATGTCACATTTTTGAAAGTACCTATTATCACTTATCCTTCACCACGGGGCTCCAATATTCAGTAATAATTATATTATAGATCAGAAATAACAAATGAAATACCCTTGAACAAAGGATGCTTCATTTCACACTGACACTTGACACAGTAGCTTTGTTATCAAACATCAATTCTCCAGATATTATGGAGCACTGAGTGTGGAAAGTAAAATATTGGTATTTTTCAAGTGGTATTCTAATTTATCACCTATTCTACATTTTATTAAATTTTTAATTCATATTATCATGTTTTTATCTTGCTAGAATCAGTGATAAAGAGGCTGACAAAATTGCAAGCAACATTAACGATAAAATTTTTTAGAACATGTCAGCCTGTAGTATGAATATTAGTTTATTAACAGACATGACAAGAATGATAAACAATTAAATAAATCAATTTTTGGAAAGTTGCTCTCGAGATCTAATACAACTTTCAAAATCTTACCTGAATTTCCTCCCAGACTTCTTCATCCAAAGCAGTTGCACATGTGACATGCTGCAGTGGTACTATCAAACAATGGCCTTCAGTCATGGATCTATTTTGTGGAACACTAAGATACACCTAGCATTAAAACAAAAAGTGATGATTAATTCAATGTTTTAGAATTCTGTCCATCAATTTTGTCCAAAGATACACCTGGATTGCAACGATCAAAATCCAAGAGTTTCAAAATTAACATGTTCCCAGTGTTTTCCTGTTCGATAGAAAATATTTACATAATAGGGCAGGATTGAAAACTCTCAATATAACTCAAACTCTCAAAATGATTCAAAAAATCAATAACAACGTTACCTTAACAATTGTCATGGAATTTAACATGTAGGCAAAATGAACATGTTTTGGGCAATATTTCTACAAAGAATAAGATTGAAAAAGTGAATAATGAAAAAGCTGACCTTACCTTAGAACCAATACATATGATGAGATGCTTGTGAGTATGATCCAAACAGCGGGTGCAGTTATCAAGGGCCTTGGCTGTATCACGATGCTCTGAGATAAAAATATAATGAAACAACATATAGCAAGAAAAGAACATGGTAAATATAAACTAAAACTGCTACAAATATTGTAATGGTTTAATTCAGAATTTATTGATGAGCCATCTTCAATTCTTTGAAACCTTTTTGGTGATCTTGTACAAAATTATGAATCTTCAATTTAAAGGAATTTACAGGAAATAAACATTAGCAAAATAGGGCAGTTCATTCAAAAAATGAGCTTGACCTAAAAAAATTGAAGGTAGGTGATTGTCATACAGAATCATCTTATATCAAGTAAATGCACAAATACAAACAGAACATGCCATGGTAATCACATTCTTATGATATCAATAATAAATCAGAAATATTGTACCTTTGATAGCCATAGATCTTTCCCGCTCCTCAGTTTTGGAATCAGATATTTTCTTATTTGCTCTATTTACAAATACATCATCTATCTGGTACTCATCATCCGTCTTTTCAACACTCTGCAAAATAATTAGAGGAAAACAGTGAGACTACGTTTAAATGACTACCCAATTTAACCATTAAGAAATCAGAAGGGATACAGTTGAGTTGAGTTTTTTCAGGATGGTCCTAAGAGTGTATGTAAAAATTGTAGAAGGAATACAGTTGAGTGAATAATTTTTTGCATGCAACTGATTATGATTATACATCTTTACATCAAATATGAAGAAAACAGGCAGTATTTGGGTTATGCTCCGGCAGGCAGCTGGACAGACAGACATATAGACAAATGGACAGATGGCGTCACCTAGATCCCAATCATCAGGATAATATCTTTTATCCTATGCCAAGTAGAGTTTTAGGGAGATAAGTTGGTAAGATATATCCCGTATCCTGATTTTGAGGTTTCCATATCCTGAACCTCCATGAAAAAATTTGAAAAAATAAGAAAAATTGAAAAAAAGAAAAAATGTGAAATTTTTTTTTAAAAAATAAAAAATTGAAAAAAAGAAAAAAAATAGAAAAAATAGAAAAATGTGAAAAAATTGAAAAAATAAAAAAAAATTGAAAGAAAATTAGAAAACTCTACTTGGTATAGGATAAAGCAGTTATGTACGGTCGGTTTGGATATTGGGTTCATCCCTCGTGAGATATGCTCATCTACCTTCGGTCCCTATGGTCCCTCAGGTAGATATGCATATCTCCCTCTGGATAAACCCCATATCCAAAACCTCCCAGTACACAACCCTTATGTATATTTGCATAAAAAGGTGGATTGTAAAGGAAACATTACACAGGCTTGTTTAAAAAACTGCTTCCACTAACATACACTCACTTAACCCTTTAATTCCTTTTTAATAACCAACTATTGAGAGTACATGTATGACCATATTTTGTTTGGTACTCAAAATACATAAAAAAATATTATCATCCCAATTATCAATAAGTTCAAACAATTAAATAATAAATTAAATAATACAGATAAGATCAAGAGCAACTTTAAATCAATATCTAGATGAGAAGAAGTACCAAATTCTGGCTTTCCTAAACCGCATTGATCAATGTGACTCCATACCTTTCCAGCTAGTCGTGCAAACATTGCATTAGAGTCTTCAGCTGTACCAAGCTTCTCTGCTTCAAACTGTAAAACAAAATATATAAATGTGATTGTAAAGTTATGCTGTGTTTTATCAAAAGTGAATATTACCATCTGCATTACTGTCCAAGTTTCCCATACATTTACATGGGGACCTATTTCATACTCCATACAGTCATACACTGTCATGAGTTGCGGGCAGGTAGGGGTGGGATGGGTCGAAATTGAACGATTTGGGTCGGGTTCAGGTCGGGTCACAGAAATTCGATGCATGTACACCTGTCAGGTCAAGATTGCTAGGTCTGATAGCCTCTTTCAATGTTATAATGGGTAAGAAATGGAATATTGAATTATATATTTATATACCTATATTTGTTTTTGGGACTCACAAGAGACGCTCTTGTTTGAGCCTCTATAGGGCAAGGAAAAACTAAAGTGGCTTGATTTATTGATGAAACCAATGAAAGTGAAAAAGATAGCAATGAAGAGGCAAAAGAAGAGTTAGCATCAAGTGCTGAGGAAGATGACAAAATTATGATGATTGTAATGATGATGGTTGTATTGTGTTACATTATGTGACAAAAAATATTGCTGCTAAATTCAATCAAGGAAAGATTTGTGTTCAACATGAATGATATTTAAAGGAGATTTAAAAGGGTTTCTAACTTACCATTGAGTGAAGACTGTGCTTGTCATCATCAGCAAAATATCTTTCCCTTTTACCTTTCGTGTCATGAGTGGCCACCTGAAAGTTATTTGTTGGAATCATGAAACACATACTATAGTTTAAGATTTAATATGAAAATAACTTCTAGAATAAATAGTACCATGGATACTGGACTCATATGGTATAGGTATTTTCAAAAGTTGTACCTTTAAGCGGATTGAAAGTGCAATTTTAAAACGAGGTACGTACATGTATAATTTCAAGCAAATTGATGAAATTTTTTAACTTATAACCAAAAAGGGCCAACAACATGATTTTGTACAAGACATTATTGTAAACCTACATGATGTATACACTTACCTGCCTGTACAGTTTTTGGGAAAATAAATGTAATACTTTAGGATTTATATAAAAAAGGGATATTTAGAATATAAAAGTGGTGGCCATTTAAACCTTTGTTGTCTATTTTGTTGAAACTTGTAGACATTCTTGTTAACATATAAAACTAGAAAACAGCGTAGAAAATGTCACTGAACAAAACATATTTTGACTCATAGTAGCCATTTTGAAACTTTCTTGTTCGATGGGATAATAAATACATTTCTATACAGGCCTGTAGCCAAAAGGGGGGGGGGGGGGGGGGGTGAGCCCCCTCCCAGCCAGAAATTCTTTCAAAATCATGCAGTTTTCACCATTCTGAGCCCTTTTCAACATTTTTAACTGGAATTCTTTAAAAAGTGGCAAATCCTGGCTTAGGGCCTGCTATATCTCTATAAATCCATCCATAAGCTGGTTTACAATTCACATATCCACTATTATCCAGTACATATTATATACCTTTTGTTTTTTCCTTCTGCCTCCCCTTGCTTCAATAGGATGTTGTTGCCCTTGTAACGGACGGACCATTCCAGATCTATCAGTTCTTGTAAGAACCACTTCTTCCTGCTCAGCATTCTTTTTGCTATTACTCGCCCCAACACTTGCAGATGAGACTGGATGTTCAGACTTCACTTTTCTAGCCTCCTCAAGTTCTTGCTTCAGTGAGTCTGCCAGTGACTGGAAAATATATTGTAAAATATGGAAGTGAATCCCTGATGTGGTATTGATTGAGCTTATGGATGTACAATGGCAAGTAAGGTAAACATGCATGACGTTTTAGTTTGGCAGATTGAAAAATCAGTCAAATAAAAAACGGCCAATTTTTTATCTATTTTGGAAAATCACCTGGAAATTTGTAATGTGCTAAAATTTCATTTGTGTTGGTATCCCTATTTTGATGTCAGTGCATTTCCAGATCAAAATTTAAGTTCAGTCCTGAATAAGCAAATTAAATAGCTGCCAATATTTGAAATTGAGCAAATCCACCGAGTAAGTGTATCTATAGTATCATTTTCTAGCATCTTCAAGGGCTTGCTTCGAAGAATCTGCCTAAAGCTTATAGCATTTCATCATCAATATTATATTAACTGCCTAAAATTGAGAGACAATGCAGAGGGTTCCCCAATAATCCATAATAATAGAAAGGAACTATTGAGTGCTTCTTTAGCATTATTCAGTAAACTACATGATTGTAAAGCAGTTTGTATAATATTAACCAAATTCGTGTTTGTTTAACAAAAAAAGCCCTGCAATTTTATATGCAAAGTTTATTGACAGTCACTTTTTATCTGTAAATACACTCTATTTGATAACATTCAGCAAAGTTGGTTGATAATTCACTAGACGAAAGTACATAAACATGTTTGGTTAACATCAGATGCATTATACTTGGGTGATGTATATGGTTCTATCACTCGATCCAATCATATTAAGTCACAGTGGTCTGTTGACTGTTATTTTTTCATTGAGTTTATTGACTCCTAAGTTTACCAATGATTAAAAATTACATGTCTTATTCTATACTGTAATGAACCGGATGTTAAACATGACAAATGGAAATCCCGCTCATGAACATGCACTAGTCAACCAATCACATTTAGATATATATTCAAACCTTTTCAATCAAAAATGGCCAACATTGTAAAACACATTTAGTATTTTAATATTTTCACCTATATATTGGGAATCTCAAAACTTGATTTACTTGTTTCACTCCAGATAAGACACATAGATAATCTTTACCAAAGATGGCTACAGGAATTCACCCAAATGTAGAAGAAGGTAAGAAATGAAAAGGAGATTTCCAGAAAATCCTAGGATTAAAATGGCATATTCCTTCATGCAAATGTTAAGATTTCATTGATATCTCAAAAGGATGGGTATCGATATGGTGAACTTTTTTAGCACATGTTTCTCTTAAACCAGTCAACAAAAAATTCAGTAATGGTCATCTTTTGAATGGTGACAATATAAATCGAAATAAATATATATACTTTTCTCTATATTGTTTTAGAAAACACATCAGACACCTCTTTTGTTCTTGGTATCATATGTTCGGAATGAATTGAAACATCTATCCGAACCTCATTGGAACTTAATGACATAAACACAATGTGTTTAGGTCTCTCAATATTGTAATTGTATGTAGGAAAGTTTGGTTGATTTTAAAAAAGTATCTTGTTAATAAAATAAAAGGTTTATCTTAATTTTAATCTATTTTAGGGGTTTTTGTTTTAATTTTTTTAATACTTTTTGTAAAATCAACCAAAATTTTCTTTGCATAACTATAATATTGAGAGGTCTAAGAAAATGTTGTATATGCTATTTTGTTCCTACAAGCTTCGGAAAGATATTTTATTGCATTCTCAAGAATTGGTAAAAAGGAACAAAAAACAAATGTACTAAAAAACAAAAAATGTTAAAAAAAACAGTAATATAAAATATATAAAAATAATTTTTGCATTAAATTGTTTTTTACAGAATGTTTTCAATAATTGGTTAAAGAGAATATTTTTAAATTGCTTTCATTTTGAAAGGAGCTGCTAGTACTGGAAATTCCTATTCCCATAAGATATTAGCCTTTAAAATGTGGACAATTTTTTATCCTTTAACTCTATCTACAGGGTGTCCCGAAAGTATGGGGCCCCCCTAGGCAGACATATTCCAGTGTCCTCATAGTATGTGTCATGTATCATTTTAAAGCTTGTCCAAAGTTACATTGATTAGCCAAGTATCATGGTTCAACTCACAAATGGGAAAAAGTTACACACATTTCAAAATGTAGTGTTTTACCAAAATTAAAGTTTTGTTTTACACAAAATTAATGGTCGACGTGTCTCCCTTGGCCATGTAAACAGCAGCAATTCTTTCCAGATATGACCTTTAATACACTCCAAATAGGGGTATGGCATTTAATAATCCTCATAAAACCTTTTTAAGGCATTTTAGAAGAGTTTCCTTGGAGTATCTACCCTAAACGTCCTCTTTTTAGAACTCAATATCCATCCTCTCTTTAACGATAGCACCCATATTTTTGGTCACATTCAGGCTAGCGGTGTTTCCAGGATACTGATTTTAACTTTAATTTTGGCCATACACTAAGTTTTGAAATGCCTGTAACTTTTTCCCATTTGTAAGTTGAACGATGATACTTGGCAAATCAATGTAACTTTGGATAAGCTTTAAAATGATATATGACACATACTATGAGGACACTGGAATATGTCTGCCTAGGGGGGGGCCATACTTTCGGGACACCCTGTATGGTATTAAAAATTACATTTTTTCATGAAAAACAGTGGCCAATTTGAATTCAGTGGCATAATCTTGTTCTTGAAATTTCCTCTTATCTTGAGGAGTGAGTTATTATAGATAACATTTCTTTTATGAAAACTTAACCCTGCCTCAAAATACAACAAGGCATTAACATGACAAAATGTCACCACCTAGTTGCTCACAATATTATGAGTTCAAAGTCAGGTTTGAATTTCTGAGAACTTGTAAATGAATTTGAAAAAATAAAATGGTCAATTTGAAGCAAGTTGAAAAAGACCTTTTTACCCTGAAAATGAAGGTGAAATCTCAAATCTAAAGTCAGATGTGAACTTCTGAGAATTTGTAGATGATTTTGAAAAAAAATTGGTCAATTTGAAACAAAATGAAAAAAAAACCTTTTTGACCTTGAGAAGGTCATTGAAGGTCAAATCTTTTTTGACCTTGAGAATGTTATTGAAGGTCAAATTTATAGCCAGATGTACTTATAGATGATTTTGAAAAATGGTCAATTTGAAGCAAGTTAAAAAAGACCTTTTGACCTTTTTTGACCTTGAGAAGGTCATTGAAGTTCAAATCTTAAGTAAGATTTGAACTTCTAATAACTTGTAGATGATTTTGAAAAAATTGGTCAATTTTAAGCAAGTTGAAAAAAGACCTTTTTGACCTTTTTTGACCTTGAGAAGGTCACTGAAGGTCAAGTTTTAAATATAAAGTCAGATTTGAACTTGTAGATGATTTTGAAAATACTGAAGTCAGTCTAAACAGTATTTGTTAAGTTATTGGAAGTTGTAAGAATTTGTTACAGACAATGATCGCCAAACACAAACCACCAACCGCCAACCGCCAACCACCAACCACCATCAAAAAATGGAGACCATAACAATATGTCACCACTTTTTGGTGGTGACATAAAAACAATGGCTGTTTGAGATTATCTGACATATATAATGTTCATTATGGTGGGCTACCAAAATAAGTTCTGACAGTCTGAAGAAGGAATAATCCTAAAATGAAGTTTGTTTTTTCCAAATAATACAGTAAATCAGAAAGAGGGTACTTCCACATACAACCATCACCAATGTTATACAGTATAATGGAAATTAATTATATTAAGTCCTATTTGCCAGTGCAGGCAATTTGATGTCAGGTTTTTGCAGCTATTGTGTGATGAGGCCTCAGGGGAGATCTCAAAATTAGTGGAAACTCCTACAGTACAAAATATCACCAACATTTTATTTCTTTTGCTTTCAGAATGCAGGAGTAGGCAGCTAGTGTCAATAAGATCACTTGCTCTCATAGTAGATCCGTTGAGAAAATATGTTCAGGCACAACTGATGGAAGTTTCCAAAAAAACAACACCACAGGATGCCTTTCAATGGAGCTTGGATAATGGTTACCTGCTTGAATATGTCAGGTCTAACACCAAATCGTTAAATGATATTCTTGATCCCAAATCATTTTTGGACATTCTGAAGGGCAACATAATATATACGACAAAGCCGATAAAAGACTGTGCTAAGGAACTTGTTCACTTCAGGAATAAATGCTGCCATAATGAATTCCTTGAGTGCACTGATAAAGCAACATCAGCATTTTTCAAATCATTGAAGAAAATAACAAGGCAAGTTGTTGCCCAAGGTGCAGCAGACCCAATCATAAATGATATAGAAAGATGGGAACAGAGGAGTAAGTCAAAATTTCTTAACTTTGATAAATGTGTTTAACAAAAGATAACATGGTGAACATTTTTTGCAAATACATCACTCTGCAAGTTCAATATCAAAAATCAATAATATTTTTAAACCATGAATTTGATAAAAAATATAATACCAGTTAAACTCCTGTATATGGCACATTATGACAGATCATATTTCAAAAAAAAATTTAAATTCAAATGCATCATAATATGTTATGTATTATAGAGCTATTTTTAATGGACAAAAATATCAACAACATGGAGGACAAGCAAATGATTCAAGAGGTACTAGATGTTTGGCATAACACCATTCAATCGACAGAGGAGAACAAAGAGCAGATGGAGTCACTTCATTTGGAACTTGGCAAGCTTCAAAATGAACTTAGAGAAAAGATTGGTGAACTTCAAAATGTGACCAGTCAACATACTGAAGAGATTGGTGCTCTTAGAACAGATTTTGATGAGTTAAGATCAACTCCTTCCACAGTTACAAATACATTTGAAAGTTAGTTACATATTTTACTCATTTAAGTAATAATACCAAGAAAAAAAAGTGTCCGAATACAGTAGTTTATATTGTAGTCAATATTTTCATAGTTATGGTATTCATTAACAAAATGTCACCACCTGGTTACGCATTCGCAAAATAAAAAGTTTAACAATTTGTTACAGATACTGAATATTGATGTTGAACAATAGTTAAAAAAATGGTGGTTACATCTTGATGTTTTTGCTGTATGACAAAGTACGAAAGCTATTTGGCTAATTCTGTTATCAGGGTTAGTAAATCTGATATACCTTATGTTTTATGGGCTTTAGGGCCCTCTAGTCAGAATCACCAAGTCATTTTTATTCTACAGGTAATCCACTTGTTCACCAGGGGTTCAATCAACATGCAAACAGCATTGTTAATAATGTTTATCACAACTATGGTAACAGCACCCGGGATCAGATTGATCTGCCTTCTAGGGCAAGTCAACTGTCTCTGGAGAATCAAGACGCTTATGAGGTACAGTATTAGTAAACTGCTGAACGCTTGCTAATCTGAACACTTTTGGCAGATCAAATTGACAGCCATATTGACTTCAAAACCTCATTGAGAACATTCCTGTACATATTAAGCTTTTTCTGCAACAAAAATGATGGCCATTAATTGAACTTTACATGTACCAAGACTTTTTGTCCAAACATTAAAACCTCATTGGTATAACATATTTGAACTTATAAAAATGTGGCAGCAGTTTTGAATATTTACAAGAATTTATGTCAAGATATACCTTATTTGTAATGCATATGAGAACATACCTGTAGATTTAAGGCTCACAAAAAGAAACGTATTCATTCAATCACTAACAATTTATTAAGTTTTTGACTATAGTCCTTTATTCAGGTAAACTAAGGTAATTAGGAGTTTGAAATATAAATAAACATTTTTGAGTTGATATTACACTTATTGTTTAATTTATAGCTTTAATTTACAGAGAGGGATCTTTCCTGAGAAGGATATATTGAGTATTCTACAGATTAATTAACCACAATCTAGGAGTTTATACACTAGCAATAACTAGCAAATCTCAGTCCTAAAATATGAATTCATTGGTATTATTACTGGAGTATTTTCCTGGTCTCTACAAAATATTCATTTTACAGTAAAAATTGATAAAATCGAAAGGGATTGAAATAAAGATTCATTGCCTTTGCTCTCCTATTAATTCATGTACTACAAAATAACTAATTGAAATGAACTCTACTATTTTGTAGGGAGTGAACGAAGATGATGAACTGTACGAGAAAGCGTTAGAGAAAGGTAATCAAACTTTAACACCTCTGAGAGCCAATTGTATCCCATTTCAATTATATAACAGCCAATTTAATGAAATACATAGGATAACATTTGATAAAATATTAAATAAATTAAATGCTAAAATGTGCAAAGCATATAAAGATTATTTCTTCTGTAGATAAAGCATTTATGCTCACCAACATAATTCTAATTATCCTATGCCAAGTAGAGTTTTAGGGAGATAAGTTCATAAGATATATCCCGTATCCTGATTTTGAGGTTTCCATATCCTGAACCTCCATATATCCCGCCATACCTCCCGCTCCAGGGAATTTTTTTTAAAAAAAACGTAAAAAATTGAAAAAAGAAAAAAAATTGAAAAAATTGGAAATTAGAAAAATGTGGAAAAATTGAAAAAAATTGAAAGAAAATTAGAAAACTCTACTTGGTATAGAATAAAGCAGTTATGTACGGTCGGTTTGGATATTGGGTTCATCCCTCGTGAGATATGCACATCTACCTTCAGTCCCTACGGTCCCTCAGGTAGATATGCATATCTCCCTCTGGATAAACCCCATATCCAAAACCTCCCAGTACATAACCCTTATTCATTTTCAGCCAAGTCAAACAAAAAATATTTAAAGGACCTTTCATTCAGCGATGAGAGTAAACTCTGTGTGAAATTAAATATTAATAAGAAATATCTTGAACTTGCTGAGGAGAATTACAAGGATGAAGAAGATGTACATGAAACTTTCCATAAAGATAACGCACCTGGTAAATGTAAAGACTTATTTCAGAGGCTAAGAGAAGAAAAGGCGTTAACAATAGAGACATTGCTGTGGCAGCTGAACAAAATAAAAGCAATAAATGCAAGGAACTTTTTAGCGAAAAAAATAAATGAATCACAATAGCCTTTTAAGACTTCCTAAACATATGTGGTGCTTCCCTTTAATTAGAGAGTATTGCAGAGTTATTAAGGAGTTAAAGCTTGCATTTAAAATCAAAAACGCCAACCTATACCAATCGCCCATACAAATGCATCGCTTAAATATTTTCCTTTCATGTTTAGGTTGTGAAAAACATTGCAAGCTTAAACTCCCTATTGCCTCATGTAGGTGCCTTAATTTTCGTAAGAAAAAGTTAACAGAAGGACATTCCTAGTTGAAACAGAAGGACATTCCTAGTTCAAAGAGTCTGTTTCTCTTCAAAAAAAATCTTATCATAAGTTACTTTTTATAATAATTCTTGTAAGGGGTGGCACTTGCAATAATTTTTAGCCAAAAAATAGTTTGATATCACTTTTGGAAATGAATTGAATTGAATGAACAGTGATGATTAGTGATGATTTATTTGATGTAAGAAATAAAAACATGTACTAATCATCATGAGAAATCATAGCCAGCATGTTTCTAGTTGAAGACAGAAAGATGTGATGAGTATCAGAATGTGTACCAATATAAATCATAAACATTACCTGATTTCCCATGATTTCGGCTCTCAGTATTTTGGCTCCTAATTGATTCATTTCTGTCTCAGTTAGTACCTTCTTCTGGACTATAGGTGGAGCTGATAGCTTGGCCTCATCCTCACTTTCACTTCCTGTAGCCGAGTCAGAGTCTGCACCTGGAATATTATTTCTTTGATATATTTTACTCGTATATTTTATTCACATATCTATGAACAGTCGAAATGTTGAGGCATGCGCAGACCTCTATTTAGTGATATTTTCATTTCAAATATGGCGGCCAATCCGATGTCTGACGACCCTTACAAAGAATCTAGGCAGTTTGCATTTTTACCTCCTGTGAAATAACAAGTGGAATTTAGTAGTTGTTTTGTGTTTTATTATCATTCTGCATCGTAATTCTATGTGATGTGGTGTTGAAATGTCAGCAGAAATACATATCCATACGATAATCGAGTGAATCAGATAACAGATTTTTCGAAAACCCGTCTCGTGCTAAGAGTGTAAAAACTTGTACTAACATGCTCAAAAGTGCCAATGTGCACATCAATGTCAAGCTAAATCAATGTTGTGTCTAAAACAGGTACCCGATCTACTCAAAACAGCTTGTCATTCACGTATACACGCTTAGCAAACACGGCGAAATGACCTGAATCTTGGAATTTCGTTCAAGAGCTAGTAATGTTTGCTCCGGTCTTCGTCATAAGTGTTCATCAGACTTCACGCATGCGCAGGGGAAAAACCATTAACCAATAAGGTTTATAAATCAATTTTGCGCATGCGCCTTACAACGGTAAACAAATTCGTATTTATAAACGAACCAGTTTGAGATAACCCGATATCAGTCGGAGAAATCTGACGATCTACGAAACTCACTTCAAAAAATCAAATGCGGACTGACGGCGTATTCTACTATGTTTGGATCTAAGATTTTCAGTATAGATAAAGTCTTTTATGATCTTTCGAATGAGGTAAGTCTCTAGTTCGAAAGACAATCGTATCAACTTGAACAAAAGTTGAGTTTTGACGAAAAATTTTAACATGCGCAGAAGTCCCATTTTCGTTGTACCATATTGACTGTGAAGGGTAATACATTTTATTGAAATATGCCTGAGCATATAATCGATGGTACACTGAATGTACTAGTACTAGTCTGAGGTAATTTCCCAAAATGACTGACCTCAATTCAGAATTAAATGGCTCATAAGATGAAATACTAATGAATGGGAATGATCTCTCATTTCTGAGCCACACCATGGACAATCAAATCTACTAAATATTGAAGAGAAAACATGTTTTAGACTCGGATAGTAAATAAAATAAAATTATGTATTCTATTAGTTTCCATAAACAGTCTGTATTTCCGAAAACAGAGAAATTCAGGCCAAATGATTGATCTGCAATATTGTCAAATCACACAATATTTCTCATATTTCCACCATAATAAGCATTAAATGTAAAGCACTGCTGAGGTTATTCAAACAAAACTGAAATTGGGAAAATACCAGAATTTAACTGCTCAATTTTTAAAATGTATAATTTTTTAATGTACAGGTACAGTGTATGATTAACTTATATTTTTTCATAAGTGATGTCTATATATCTATAAGTATTTTAAAATATACTGTACTGTTACGTTGTATCAAAAGTTTATTATGAAGTTTCTATTTTCAGGTACATGTTTACATGCCTAACCATCGACAACGTACAGTGACAAAATATACCGTTGTACACTTTAGATGTATAGTGTCACTATTCAACCAATTTGAAGCAAAGACAACGATGTAGGTTTGATAGTTTTAAAAAAATAATCCGAGGAATACATTAAGGATTTCATGTTTGATTTTGTATGTATTTGTTGTGGAAGACATTTAACTTTCGAATAACGTTAAAAGATTTTCGAACATTGCTCGATTTTTTTGTAGTAAATCTACCCATATAATTGGCCGGTTGGAAAATGTCTTCCCAAACGAATACACACAAAATCAAACTTGAAATCCTTAATGCATTGCTCGGATAATTTTTTAAAACCTACATCAAAAATACAACATTGTCTTTGCTTCAAATCATGTTTTGTCATTGTACATTGTCAATGGTTAAGCGTGGTTTATGCAGAGATTATATCAGAAATTTAGATAAGCTATATATTTTCAAGAGTTATTACCATATTAGTATTTTATAATATGCTATTACATACATATGTAATGCATCCAAATTAAACTGCAGATCTTGTTTTCAAATATCACTGTTTTATTAATATGAGCATATTATATCCTCTGTTTAATATATTGTTGTATGAATTAAGAGATTCACATGAATAATTTGTATTATATTTTTGATTAGATTTAAAAATTTTGTAATTTTATAATTTCACAATATTTATAAATAGAAGGCATGATTCAATTACTTATTATTGTTTTGTTAAGAGTCCATACATGTATGAGGTGACATCATATCAACTGCATGATTTTCATAAAAACCAATAGGAGCACAATATGTTGGAAATCATGCCCTTATTCTTCTAAAGAGAAATATCTTGAACCTAAAAGATATTCAAGATGATAACCATATCTTACTTACCCAACGCCTAATCTAGATTCAAGAAAGATCCCTGAAATCATGAAGTTAGTCTTTGCCCTTTAAATATGATACTAACAATTTGTACTTTCTGGGAAATCAAATTGGCCACAGCAAAACATTGGTAATTTCTATTGGTAAATTTTATTTCCACACCAAGAGACATCGACTTTGCACACATGATTAGGACAGCTTCTTCTACCCAGCTTCTCTAAATACAAGATCATTTCTCAATTTTCATACCAAAAAAAATGCTGAAACAATAAAAAATATTTTGCACCAAAAGTCCAAAATACCCACATTTTTCACCCAATTTACCAAGCAATCAGGTCTAGTTTTTCATATTAATATTATAGTAGATAGAAATTCAAAGAGGACACATTGCAGCATTTCCCCACATATCATGTTTACATGAGGAGGAGCGTGAGCTAAAAAGTTCAGCATAGTCTACTATCTAACTTATGGTTACAATATCTTGATATCATATCCAACTTTATTTGAGATAACTAGACCTTTAAAATGGAATGATGGAAAATCAAAAATGACTAATTTTGAAAATCTAATCTGAAAGAGTTGTCCACTAATTAGGTCACTATACAAAATGAGGGAGACGACAATTGGCTTAATTCATATACATATAGGACCCTAATGAGTTGATTCCTTACCTGATGAGGATGATGATGAATACTCCTTATCTATTATCTTGTCATCATTCCTATTATCCCTCTTCCAACTACCTCCCTTATTTAACCTTTCATCCTTTGCTTGCTTATCTTTTCCTCGGCTCCTTTCTTCATATTTATCAATGTCTTTATCTTTACGACTCCTCTCATTGTCTCTATCTTCTGAGCGTTCCTCCTTGCTGTGATCCATTTCTCCAGGTTTTAGAAAGCCTTTCTTCTTCCAACTGGGCCTTTCAGGGCTTCTTTCTCTGGTCCTTTTCCATCTTGGTACATCCTCAGATTGTCTAGGGTTTGAATCTTTTGGTGCCTCACCTGGTTTCATAAATCTGCTTCGAATTGATTTTAACTTTGAGTCTTTTTCAGTGTCAGTTTTTCGATCTGTTGATCTATATGGTGATCTGTCCCTGCTTTTTGATCGATGTCTAGATCTCTTTGGGGATTGCTCATATTTCCGAGAGGATCTGTCTCTACTACGAGAACGGCGTCTAGACCTTTGTGGGGATTTATGTCTATTTGGAGATCGATCATTTCTATATGGTGATTGACTTCTACTTCTGGATCTTCTCCTTTGTCTGTCTCTACTCCTTGAGCATCTAGATCTCCGGGACCGATCATCTTGTTTGTTTAGTTTCTCCTGCTGTGCTCTTTCTGCATCACATATTTTCATTTCAAGCTCTTCTATGGACTGCAATTATATGTATGCCAAAGTAAGACATGGCATCAACATGCAAAATGTCACCACAAAAGCCATTGTAATTCAACCCTATTTTAAATTTTCCATTTGAAATGGTGAAAGGCAATATTCAATATTTAACTTAAAGTATTTCTTCAAACATTCACCTCTTTATTATTATTTTTACTTGAAAATATTCACAGAAATATTATACAAATACAGTATTCATTCTGTATAGAGGTGAATACCTGTACATCTTCACTATTGATTTCTCAATTAAGCCCAGACATATTCACTGAGAGAACACAAATCCCAGGTATTCTGACAGGGCTTACGGACAACTCATCCCCTAGACAACTCATCCCTGGACAACTCATCCCCTAGACAACTCATCCCCTGGACATCTCATTCCCTGGACAACTCATCCCCTGGACATCTCATCCCCTAGACAACTCATCATACACAGGGAATTTCAGAATATACATGACTGGTGAATACCATCTGATCTATAATGTCATGTGACCAGGGTTTGACCATTCATAGAATACTAAACTTGATTATGATGGTATTCTGATAGTTACCCCCCATCTTTCTGCTGCTACCTCCTCTAGTGATCTCCCCTCCTCCTTTGACTGCTCAACACACCTACAAAATATAATAATCACACATCATTTGGTTTACAAAATGACAAAATAAAACTGCGCAAAATACACTATAATCAGATAATATTCTGTTCAAACAATGACAAAATTGCCAAATACTCCACTATCATTTTGAGACTAAATGCAAATATATTCTAACTGCATCTATATTAACATACCCATGCTGGTTTAATCAAGATGAGCCATTTTCACATTGCTCTTAGCCTTGTTAGGTACATTAATGTTCAGGTTCTCTTTTTATAGAATTATTTCAGAAATAAGGATATCAAATTATTATTAGATAGCTTAATTGTGCCATTTGTAATGCCACATGTCTCTTTACCTATCATAAGCCTTCTTCAGCCATTGGACACCACCATCTCCCAGGGCATTTACTGGGGCCATGGCCTTCTTAGCAGCAAGCTGTTCCTCAGGGAGACCCTTACCACCATCTTTCCAGTATGGATTAAGTTCTTTAGAATGTTGACCTGGCTGAAAATAAACAAAAGATATGTAAGTACAACGCCAATTTAAAGTGAAGACAAAAATTGAAGGGAACATTCAAGAGCAAAAACCAATTCTAAGGAAACACTCCCAAACATTTAACCGTTTTATTGATTATAGCATCTGAACAAGGATTTCTTTTCTGGCCACTTTCTCTTGAAATTACAAATACATGTACAAATGCGACGAAATACCTTCTGTGTCTTTTTCAAACAAAAGAAACTAGAAAAAAACAGCAACTCCAAGGAGTAACAAATCCTACTAAACAAACATATTTTAATAATAAGTGACCATCTTGAAAATTTCTTATTGAGCAGAGCTCCTTTGTCCCTAGGTAGCAGCATATACAATTTGAATCTAATCTTTCAACTGGTATTTACACATTTTTAATGACACGTGACAGTCATTTTGATAAATAGTGGCCATCTTGAAAATGACTTCTTGACCAGACCACCTTTATCTCTAAGCATCAGTATATAAAATTTGAACCAAATCCATCCACTGATATTTTTTAAAAAAATGGCAGTCAATTTAAAATTCAGTGGCCAGCTTGAAAATCTTTTCTTGAGCAGAGCTCCACTGTCCAAGGGCATCAGCATATAAAATCTGAACCAAATTCATCCACTAGTATTTGAGTAATTAAAGATTACATTTTTACAAAAAAATGGTGGCCATTTTGAATTGAGCGGCCACACTGAAAATTCGTTCTCGAGCAGGGTCCTACACCCATAAGACATAAGCCTACAAAAGGACCACGAGTTGTTTGTAGAGTAAATCTGGGCAGATTTGTCATGTATTTTGCTAGTGTTTTTCATCTAATAAACATCAATACACTTTAGAACATTTTATTGATTATAAGATTGCACCATATAATCCTAAAAATTATTTCTCATTTTGAAGGATTATTTATGGATTAACACCCAGGTATTGTTATTTTTCATACTTCAGAGGGCTGGGAATCATTATTACGATCAATTTTGAATAATATTAATGCTGTTTTAAATAGGATTTCATGTTTGCCAATAATTTCTCAAATTGTGTAAATGGTACCCCTTCCTAATCCCAAGAATTTTCTCTTTGAGGAATTTCCTATAGTAATCCAATGGTATAGTTCCAAGCAGATTTTGAGATAACAGGAAAGTTAATCATTAATACACACTTTATTGGGTTGTTTTGGTTTAGATCACAACTCTTTATTGAAAAATTCAAAATGACCACGAAGTAATTTACCCAGCATGTCCAAAATCTAATCGTTTGTTAGCAAGTTGAACACTGTCCAGGCATATTTTTGCCCAATATTGTGTATATATTTTCTATGCATATGCCCTAAGTGACTACAACTTCTGCACAGAAGTAGATTTCTAAAATAATATTGATATGTTTTTGCAAAATGTTATATACTGTAGATTGGGTTAAGTTTACGCCTAAATTACTTTAGCGGCGAAATAGTTTTGTTGTCACCAATATGACAAAGATCAAAGCCTTTATGCTTTGGTGTTGAGAAAATAAAAATAAATATAAGATGAGTGCAATTCCCTCTGTTATTATGCATTTATGGTGATTCCGTAGGCAAATACATGCGGTATGTAATTCAAAGGTAGGGTGGCTATAAAACCAAGATGGTAAAGCTTATGTGTAAAATAAATGCTGATATCATTTTTCCAAATTCATTTTTTTCAACTTTCAAGATTTCCTTCTCAGCAGTAATGGTAAAAACCCTGGGTTAACTAGACAATGCTCAAGCTGTAAATTGACACCACTAGTGATTTCCATACATGTATTTGATCGGATATCTCCAAGGGCTTTGTTTTTCTGTTTATTTGTTGCTATGCATTGATTCAATTATTTATCTACTGATTCCTGGATCAATCCTCTGAGCTGTCATTGAACAATGTATCAATTGACACAACCTTGAACCTTGAATTTCATTCCAAGGGCAATATTATAGCTCATACAGGATGTTCAATAAGTAATGACACTTAGTATCCTATTTTGTCGCTGGAGTTTTAGCATGTCTTTGTCAAAACACCAGAAGAGAAGTACTAGTAAGAGTTTTCACTAGAAAATATAATGCGTGTTAAATTGTTTTAAAACATGACCTTTTCAGAAGAGTAGGATTGAACATTCAGAATATGGATGAAAACTGAAATAAGACTCCTCTTTGCGCTCCAAATATTGTTGATTGTAGGGCTCAAAATGCACAAAGAAGGTGTTTGTAGAATGAATCAAGGGAGTTTTTTAAGCATTTACCATTTTCAAGAATTTTTTTGGTGATTATATTGTGCAACCTTATAGTCAATAAAATGTTTTTAAGTGTATTTAAGCGAAATGCATGAAAAAACTCCCCTGATTCATTCGACAAACAACTCCCCCTCCTTTGGCATCCGAAAAACTCCCTTGAAAACAAATCTTGATATACCAACAGGTTTATGCATAAAAAGTATGTTTAATCAACAATCTGGATGTGTGGAATTACACTTAAATGATAGAACAACAGCGGATTATTCGGAAGAATTTTAACATTTTCCCCCATTTTTGCACTTTGAATCCTTATAACTTCAAGAATTTATAACATATCACAGACCTTTTGGATGATACTGAATTTGAAATTGTAAAAAAAAGATTAGTAGGTTGCTTGCAATTTTGTCATCCCCTATAGATCTGACTCTGCCTTGAAGTAATCAATACTGTGTGGTTGACAAAAGAGTTGAATCCAAGAATTAGTGTCAGAGCAACTTCAACAGAGGAAGAAAAACAACTTAATAAGTTTAACAGAAACAAAGTACCAACAGACAAACGATTAAAAAACTTTACAACTAAAGGAATTGTACAGAATCTTAATACTGATAAAATGAAACTTTTGTTGATTGTCACACTTTTTGGGATGGGGAATGCAGACAACAAATTGGAGAATTTATTTACAAGATACACTGACAATCTTCTTGGAGATGTAATTTCAACATTAGAAACTAAAAGTAGAATTGAATGTGCAGAGAAATGTTCAAGTTTAGAAACATGTGGGTTTTATTCAATCCATAAAATAGGAGTGAGACAATGGAATTGTGAGTTGATATCAAACACAAACTTGGCAATTTCTTCTACAAGTATAAGTATCAAGTACTTTATAAAGGTAAGAAGGTGAATGGAAAAGGTTAAATACTACATTAATTTAATAAAATGGTTTAAGCATAAATGTTTTATCCACATAGAAGTTATAATTTTGGGAAATGCTATTATATTTTAAAAAGGTATAAGCAAGTATTTTATTTATCATTTGTCTCATGTATAACTTTTATTAAAATATTCATTCTTTTAAAACTACTTAATTTAAAACTTAAGTCTTAATTTAAAACTTTATTTTGTTTTAGTTTGTTGATGTAACAAATGGCCAAACAACAGATCCACCAACAACAGCTGCACTAACAACAGCTGTACTAACAACAGATCCCCTAACAACAGTTGCACTAACAACAGATGTTCAAACAACAGCTGCACTAACAACAGATGCTCAAACATCAGATGTACCAACAACAGCCGCACTAACAACATATGCTCCAACAACAGCTGAACTAACAACAGATGCTCCAACAACAGCTGCACTAACAACATATGCTCCAACAACAGCTGAACTAACAACAGATGCTCCAACAACAGCTTTACCAACAACAGCTGCACCAACAACTGTTCCAACAACAGCTGCACCAACAACAACAGCAGAGCCAACAAATCCTCCTTTGGTAAGTATACCAATTTGTAAAACAACAAAAAAAAACATAAACATAATGTTTTAGTCATGAAACACTGCTTGTGTATTTATACTCGTATAACGGCAACTATTTCATAGATACTTTACAAGGCACTAATTCAAGCAGAAAGGGAGAAGACAGTGTGCATAGTAATTGATGATTTGCGATCACCGAATGGATTCTATCTTGTAGTGACGTCACAATTAGGCCACCCAGCTCTAGATGTTTGATTTTGAGAGATTATCTTCTATATTTCGTGCTTTATTGATTTATTTTTCATGAAAGCGTTCGATTTGACTAGATCAACATTCATGCTAAGCACATACCAAGTCTAAGATCTTACTGACATGATTTAGATAGCAGTTGAGCGCCCCCCGATTTTGACAAAAAATGGGGGTCGCTTATAGGCATCAATGTTGAGTATGAATTTAACCCAAACTTTGCACATATATAGAAATAATCATGATCTAGTCAAATCGGCATACCTGGTAAATATCCGACCCATGGTTTTCATAAAAGAAACGACAATATTTTTAGCTCAAAACTGGCAAGTGTCCGCCATTTCGTGATTCCATCATGTCTAATATCATTTCTATATGACATCACACCAATAAGACGAAAAACATGACAACAGTATCCATAAACAAAATTCCTGAATTCTGATCGCAAAAGGTCAATTGGGAACCTGGGTGACCATGAACACCTCTTTTTTACACTTCCTCAAAACCAATGGGCAATTATTCCACCTTTGATTTCCAAAAAATCATTTGCATATATCAAATATGAATTGATAATATAACATTAAATTACTCAAACATGCTAAAGGATGAGTCGTCCAGGGGATGAGTTGTCTAGGAGATGATTTGTCTAGGGGATGAGTTGTCAAGGAGATGATTTGTCAAGGGGATGAGTTGTCTAGGAGATGAGTTGTCCAGGAGATGAGTTGTCTAGGGGATCAGTTGTCTAGGGTATGATTTGTCCAGGGAATGAGTTGTCCAGGGGATGAGTTGTCTAGGAGATGAGTTGTCAAGGGAGTGAGTTATCCAGGGTATGAGTTGTCCAGGGTATGAGTAGTCCAGGGAATGAGTTGTCCAGGGGATGAGTTGTCTAGGGTATGAGTTGTCCAGGGAATGAGTTGTCCAGGAGATGAGTTGTCTAGGGGATCAGTTGTCTAGGATATGAGTTGTCAAGGGAATGAGTTGTCCGGTTACCATTACAAACTGATCCACTACCTGATGGAAACCAAAATATGATTTATTTATTTTATGTTTTGTTTATTAAAGGAGGACTGAGAATTGCAAATGGTTCTCAAAATGTCACCCAAACACCGTTGACAATTAAGTCTTGATGAATTTACAGAAAGACATTAAACCTACACAGTATTGTATATCATGACTATTTTTCTGAGAGGATGCATTGATATATTCTCATTATGTAATACTTAATACAAGTCTAATATAAAATAGATTTGTAATAAATGCATTTTCAGATTTTATTTCCTTATTTCAACGAATGATAGCATAGAAGTGTCTGTTAACTTTTTTATTCAGAATCCCCTTACAAGATTATTTTCAACATTTGTGGAGAACACTGCAGAAGTGATATTTGCATCTCTTTCGGTGCATCCTGTAGCATTCAGATCTTTGGCTTAATTGAAACTAATGGAATTTTCTTTAAAATGCATTTTCTTAATAATTGTGTGTGTTTCATGACAAAAATAATAAAACAAATCAACATTCCACTCAGATCAGCTTAAAACACCAGAGTGGACTATATGAAAATTAAACAACATTCTATTAAGATTGACTTAAGATAACAGGGTGGTATATGAGAATCATATAAAACATGTATTACATTTATTAGAGTATTACAGCATCAATTTAACGTTTACACCTTTTTAGATCGGCTCCTCTACTAAACTTTGGTCAATTCAACTATTTTTTTGATACGGTTTAAAATACTGGTGTGGTATATGGGAATTATATACTAATTTCAACAGTCTATTTAGACTAGCTTAAAATGACAGGGTGTTATATGAAAATTATACTTATTGTAGGATTGCAGTGCAGGAACAACAGTGAATGTGGTTTCAGCAGAATATGTTTCTAATACATTATACATTCAAAATGGTATCAATCAATGGTACACGGCCACTCCTAATCCCACAACAGGTGCTATTGCATCCTGGGCATTTAATTTGGAAAATACTGGGTACCAGCTAGACATATACATGATGATGGACTGGAATATGGATTTCACATATGCATCTAATGGGGACTATGAGATTCATTTCGAATCAGGTGATATACTAGTTTGATTGTAAATAATTTTTAATATGTCACTAGAATGTTATTCTAACATGTTTGCAAGTTCAACACTGATGTTGAATGAGATATAAGGAAAGATTTGATTTGATTTTAAAATATTTTGCAACTCCATTTTTTTCACGGGTTTTTGATAGTTTTTCCTTTGGCTATGGATTAAATCATTATCATATGGTAGAATTCAGTCTTTTCAACAATATAAAATGTCATAACATTCTGATAGTAAAGAACTGTCCATTTGGGATGCAGTCATCAATCTCCAAAAGTTCAGGTAGGTTATCGCAAACAATTTCAGACTGTTATATCTTAGATATTTTCGGACCAAAAAGAAAGGTACATTTATATCTTTTAGATCCATTCTTCATCTCAAAGAAAAATATATACAATGATAATGAGGTCAATCACACTCAGAGATATTTAGCTAGCAATCATTCATTATTATCCATAAAGATACTTTTTCAAAGACCTCATTTTCACAAAAATGCAATCCACTTTTCCTTTTAAGAAATAGAAAATGTCTGAAAGCACATTTCAATTATGCATTCAGCATTATGCTAAAGCGTTGCATTTTTGGTGAAAATTAGGTCAACATCCCTTTTATATCATTTAGTCTGATTAACTCAATTTCTCATCAATATACATACTTTTCTTGGAGATAATGAATGAGTCTAAAATATACGCCATGTTCATGATCAGAAAATATTCATAATTCAAGTTAGAATTGTCTGATATTGTTTGCAATAACCTACACGTTTCTTTCAAACCAATAAAACTGTTTTGTTTGAAAAGCTATGTCCATTATTCTGTATAATTATTATTCATTCATCAAACACAGCAAACAATCGCCAAACATGCTTAAGTTACATCTAGCAATTTTTGATATGTTAATTTATTTTCAGGAGCTGCAGCCTCTGCTAAAATTCACTGCAGTAATGAAGGTTGGTATTTTTTTGATGGTGCTGGTAATAAGTGTCCAGGTTCATTCCCAATGAGTGTTGACTCATTTTTCAACAAGGGCAATCCGGGTATTCCTACAGGTGTACAAGCCGGCACATTTCATCAGGACAGCACACATAATATACAATACTTGTTCAAAGATGATTGGGTTTATGAATCCAGGGCAGCAATTGGCTCAACTGGTATAAGCGTATTTGATCTGACAGCAACGTACCACAAAGATGATGCAACAGCACCAACCAACATTTTCAAGGGAGGAATACCATATGGGATAACGGCAGCAGCTCGGTTGCCGAATGACTTGTTTGGATTTTTTGTTGGAGAACATTACTATGTTTATGACTTAACAACCGAAACATTATCAGGTCCAACATGTGTAAATCAAGCTTAATATCTTTATATTGCTACCAGAGACATTGTATAGTTGGTCATTAATATATTTTTTATTAGAGGTACGTAATTGTAGGCACTCATATATATAGATAAAGATTGAGAGGTGCATTGATGCACCTACCATACCTGATGAATTCATTTGTTATTTCAGGATTCATGATGACACAACCAGGTTGTGGTATGTTGTGCAATTTCCCAATACACATGTAACAATTTTTATAATTTACAACGTCAAATGTCATAATTTTGACAGCAAACATAAGGTGAATGATTTTCTTTGTAATATGAAATAGTTGATCCAGTCATGACAACGTTTTAAAATTATCCTCAACTTGTAAAATAAAAAACTCCAATTTTTGAAAGCAATATCATCTAAAAAAGCAGGTTAGTGACACATATCGAAATACTCCTTTATATACAGTATGGCAAGATTTATGAGATTTCAATGAGGTGTTAAAAGTCAATCATTTAAAAGAATATTCCTTATTTAACTAATTTGATATAAATTAGAAAAACAAATTAAATATGATGAAGAATTTTCGGAAAGAAAACTAAAAGAAAGTCTGGAGCTATTTGTAAAATAATGTGAATAGTCATTTTCAGGGTACCAAAGTAAAACGAACTTTTGCTAAAAAAAAGCTATGATCAATGTGTATTGTCAAATATTATAGGTAAACTCTACTTATGTTTAATATGTAAATAAAATACATTATGTACGCGTACGTATAAAAAATAAGGAACTTGATAAATACAATCATTGTTGCATAAATAGTCAAGATCAGGGCTAAAAATCAAAGTAAAAAAACTAATTAATTAAAGTTTCAATGTATCCATTCACCTTCAGAAATCGTTAATAGGCACTTAAATCACACAAAAATGACAACCACATATTGAGACCTGTGATCTCTTCGATTCTTCTTACTTCTGACCTTGAACTAAGGTAACCTCTGATGTATTCTTAGGAAGTCCAATATATGATACTAATTTCTCACATGTCAATGACTGTTTTTAAATAGGCTAGAATGGATTATTGATTATTAATAATTAATAGCACAATTCATATTTCAGTATGAATAGGTGCATGTTTAGTACAAATTCTTAATGTTTTGTTTGTTACAATCTAAAATCATTGATTATTGTAAACAATGAATCAGTCCTCATTCTTTGGAACAACCATGATATGAGAAATGCAAGAGTGATAGATGCTCATCAGCTATTTGCATATGTTCACAGGATGACGTTTTGACACATTTATAAGAAAACAATATTGGCTGACATTTCAATTTCTGGTGTTCCAAGATTATATTCCCAAAGTAAATAATCAATTGAATTAAGCAACAACAAACAAATAAATAAATAAAAAAACTAGAAAAACAGCAATTCCACTGAGTAGCAAATCCCACCGAACAAAACATATTTTGATGATTAGAGGCCATCTTAAAAATTCCTTCTTCAGCAGAGCTTGTTTGTCCCTAGGCATCAACACATAAAATGTAAACCATATCCGTCAATTAGCATTTGAGTTATCAAAGTTTGCATTCCTTTTCTACAAAAAATAGCAGCCATTTTAAAATTCAGCTGCCACTTTGAAAATCTTTCTCAAACCTGGTTACTGTGTCCCACTGAGAAACAAAAATCAGAACAAAGAACAAAATCCATTCACTGCTATTTGAGTTATCAAAGATTACATTCTTTACAAAAAATGGCAGCCATTTTAAAATTCAGCTGCCATCATGAAAATTCTTTGGCAAACAGAGGTGTTGTGTCTCGCTCTCTAGGCATCATCATATAAAATTTGATCCAAATTCGTTCTGAATATTTGAGTAATCAAGGATTATGTTTTTTCCGAAAAAATGGCGCCCATTTTGATATTTAGCAGCCATTTTGAAAATCTCTTCATCAGGGTAGCTCCTTTGTCCCTAAGCATCAGCATATCGATTTTGAACAAAATCTGTCAAATAGTATTTGAGTTATCAAAGATTAGGTTTTTTATGAAAAATGGCGTCAATTTTAAAATTCAGCCACCATCTTGAAAATTCGTTCGCAAACAAATCTACTTTTTCCATGGGCATCATCATATAAAATTTGATCCAAATTCGCTCACTGCTAATTGAGTTATCAAAGATTATGTTTTTCTTGCAAAAAATGGCCACCATTTTGATATTTAGCAGCCATCTTGAAAATCACTTCTTCAGCGTAGCTCCTTTGTCCTCAGGCATCAGGATATAAATATTGAACCAGGTCTGTCAACTACTACTTGATTTATCAAAGATTAAGTTTTTTATGAAAAATGGTGGCCATTTTGAAATTCAGCCGCCATATTAAAAATTCTTTCTTGAACAAATCTACTTTGTCCCCAAGGCATCATCATATTAAATTTGAACCAAATCCGTTTACTGGTATTTGATTTTGGCCACCATTTTGATATTTAGTAGCCATTTTGAAAATCTCTTCTTCAGCGTAGCTCCTTTGTCTCTGAAACTGTCTTTTGACACTGGCATCAGCATATAAAATTTGAATCTAAACCGTGAACTAGTATTTGAGTTATCAACAAAGATAACATATTTTTAAAAAATGGTGGCCATTTTGAATTAAGCGGCCATATTGAAAATTCTTTCTCAAGCAGAGGTTTGACCCCCATAAGGCATAAGCCTATAAAATTTGAATCAAACCCATCAACCGGTATTTGAGTTATCGCCCAGACAAATGGTCGGATGGACAAACGGACGTACAGACGACTCTCCTATAACCCCCTCAAAGTGGGATAATTAAAGCCTTTTTGAGATCCTATCACAAAGATTCATGCATGGAATTGAAGACTTCTCAGAATTTTAAAAATATTTATTATGTCTCCAGTTATTCAGATGCAAAGTGTCGGTCATGAAAAAGAACAAAAGAATAACAAAAAACAATACTCTATATAGAAAAATCTCCAGAAGTATCTTAATCTCACTGAACAAAACATATTTTACCAAATCACTTGTCATTTTGAAAATTTCATGATAGAAATAATTGAACAGTAGTATTGTCTCATTTTGGCAAAATCTAAGACAATATTGGGAATACTTTTCAAGAAGAAGCCGTATGCCCAATTGAGCCACCAGTGCAGTCTGTTAAATTTGGACCAAATTCAACTAGAAAACGGCAACTCCATGGAGTGGCCAATCCCAACGAACACTATATCAATCATGAATCTTTACAGTCACAATGTAATATTTACCATCTACTCTTCCATTCAATAAATATTTGAGATCATTGTAGTATCATGTAACCATACTTTAAAGATAACCTTTAAGTAATGGCTAATTCCTGCTCTAGCCAGCCAATTTGAATTTTCTGAGGCATAAATCAGAAAAACAATACCATAATTGTGATCTACTCAGAAATTCCTTCAATTTGAGTATAATATAGCCAAACTTTTTAAGAGATCAGAAAAATGATACAATATTTGCAATCTACTCTATATTACCTTTCATTTGAGTATAATAAAGCTATACTTCAAAAACATCTCAAAATAAACACAAATTCCTGATTCTTCAACACCCCATTCACAGCCAATGGGGTCAGGGTGAAAGACACGGGATATATGTGAAATAGATAGATGTTGTGAATATACTGCCAAAATTTCAAATAATAATATTCATTATTTTGGTTTGAAATGAAAAACATAAGATTTTTACAAAAGATTCCCTCCGACAGACTGAAGGACGGACGGACAGCTTCACTATATCTCTACCGAACCTCGTTCGTTGGGATAATTATTCCAAGGTATTTGATTATCAGAAATTATATCCCTTGGTCATTTTGAATTGAGGCATCAGAACATGAAATCTCAATGTACTCTGACAATTGGAAAATATTATTTCAAAAATGTTAGCCAGTTATTAGCGGCAGTTAGAATTCCAGATTGCCTTCTTTCTTGTTCAGATTCAAGCAGTGAAATAAAACAATTATAGACCACAAAACTAACTTTGGGACAGAGACAGCTTTTCCTGAAGCCCCTAATCTGATACCTTGTCAATATACATATAGCCTATATCAGGCCTGGAGGTCTTTTATCAAATATTGGGGGTTTCCCACCAACTTACACTTATAATATAATATGCGGGCAATCTGCAACAGGTATATTTTTGCTTCAATTTGATTTTCCATGCATGCCTGATAGAATATTTGAAACGATTAAGAAATGCACATGCATGTTTGAAATTTAAACCAATCAAATTATTTTGTTCTAGAACTGTGGGCATTTCGCCTCAGATATTCGATTTCCATTTTTCCTGGGGATTTTAAAATGATCTGAGGGTCTTACAGTAAAACTTGAAGTTTTTGCATACATTTTATTCTCATGATAACTGTTCACTTTGCGAAGATGAAATGAGGTGAATTTATATATCCTGAAATATTTTCTTCGAATTATTAAAATGTGCGTTTGAAGAACGGTTTTTGTGAAGCGATAAAATTCAATTTTCCATATTTAACCGTTACATTTTGTTTAAAATCAATAACTTTCCCATTACTGTACGGGCAAAATAGAATGTGGCTAAGTAAAATAATGAAGCAGTCTTAGTTTTAGTAAAGAAATCGATGGGCGCTCCACCAGAAATATATTTTAAGAATTTTTTACGAATTGGTTCCTTTATACTGTCATTCTCATGAGTGGAAAAGGTCTCAAAAACATATTTCTAGGGAAACGCCCATTGATTTCTTTTTATTTTCTACGAGTTCAGATAAATAGGTATCTTACAACTGTGACACTTTGTCCCTATCCCATCAGGCCATACACGGATTTTAACCACAAATAACGAGTCTAACCTTAAAAAACGAGTTCATTGCCTTGCAAAAAATGTTCTTAAAAAAGCAATTTTTATATCACACAAGTTGTTTTTGGGAATATCTAAGATCACATAATATCTAAGATCATCTCTGATGTAGATTTTAAACTTCCATGATGATCACATCCAGAATAAAAAAAAGCAATGTCCTTCTAAAAAAGCTCTCCTTATCGGGGGTTCTCCTTTGAAATCACATACTGAGTTATCATCACCTTGCAATGATGGGTATTGAAATATGATGCAAGTGTTTCGGACCAAATGTTTGTAGTGGCTGCCGCATCATCATATTCCTCTGTCAAAGGAGACCCGGGACAGTGAATGTAATCAATTAACAGATAGAAAATAATTCCTGATGCGGAAATCACATATTGCTCAAATGATTTTTAGATTCAAATACCAAATTGTTCTTCAACTATAAACAGGAAATAATGAATAATTAGGTAGAAGGGATAATCAATGTAGCCTTTTAGGCGCTATCACAATAATCTAGGAAGTACTGTAAAACATGTTGAAATTATGTTTGGAATCATCACACTTTCTGAAACTCTAAACAGCTTCTGTGTCCTGATAATCTTTTGTCTAATGGCATCAATGGAAAGACCATTCATGATGGACTAAATCTTTTTAGAAACAAATCATACAGTAATATTTTCATTGAATAATTCAAAATAGCCAACAAGAAATTTACCAAGCATGTCCAAAACCTAATCAGATCTTTGCATTAGTCTGCTCTTGCATCTGTAAAATTTCATGTTGAACAAGTGGAATTTTTATCACAAAAGACGACTAAAATAGGTAGCACTTTGAGAAAGTGAGAAAAACATTTACAGCATGGCAAGTATCTTTTGTGTTGTGGTGGTCATTACAGTTCTTATCCATGGATTACTACTGATGGATATTCAAAAACTTTATAATCATAAATGTATCTATAAAATCAGATATCATTAAGTGTAAGTAAACATGCTTAAAAGTACACCAAGGTACAAGTAATCAATTAAGTAATCAATTCTGCGTGGTCCAAGAGTTCAATAAAAGACTGCAACTTCGGCAGAAGGTAAACAACTTCATTAAGTTTAACAGAAACAAAGTACCAAAAGAGGAACAATTTAAAAACGTTATCGCTTGAGAAATTGCACTGATAAAATGAAACTTTTGTTGATTGTCACACTTTTTGGGATGGGGAATGCAGAAAACAAATTGGAGAATCTATTTACAAGATACACTGACAATCTTCTTGGAGATGTAATTTCAACATTAGAAACTAAAAGTAGAATTGAATGTGCAGAGAAATGTTCAAGTTTAGAAACATGTGGGTTTTATTCAATCCATAAAATAGGAGTGAGACAATGGAATTGTGAGTTGATATCAAACACAAACTTGGCAATTTCTTCTATAAATACAAGTATCAAGTACTTTATCAAGGTAAGAAGGTGATTTCGTTTTTGAATTTTGAAAGGGGAAAGTTAATTGCTTCTTTACTTTTAGAATTTTGGGAAGTACAATTATACTAATTAAATTTTAAATGGTAATTAGCAAGTACTTCATCCTTTGTCCTTTGCAGAACTTTTATATCATAAAAATATTAATTCTTTTAAAACCACTCAATTTACAAATACATTCTGTTTTAGTTAGCCGAAGGAATAAATATCCAAACAACAGATGCACCAACCACATCAGCAACAACAGTAGTACAAACAACAGCTGTTCCAACAACAGCTGTACCAACAACTGTTCCAACAACAGCTGTACCAACAACTGTTCCAACAACAGCTGCACCAACAACTGTTCCAACAACAGCTGCACTAACAACTGTTCCAACAACAGCTGCACCAACAGCTGTACCAACAACAACTGCACCAACAACTGTTCCAACAACAGCTGCACCAACAACTGTTCGAACAACAGCTGCACCAACAACTGTTCCAACAACAGCTGCACCAACAACTGTTCCAACAACAGCTGCACCAACAACAACAGCAGAGCCAACAAATCCTCCTTTGGTGAGTATACCAATTTGCTAAACAAAAAAAACATAAAAATAAAATGTCCTGGTAATGAAACACTGCATGTTCACGAACTTATAAAATATAACTGCTAGTATTTCCTTGATATTTTACAAGGCACTCATTCAAGCTCAAAGGGAAAAAGCAGGGTGCATCTTAACTGGGAACCTGGGGGACCATGGACACCTCTTTTTTACTTGGACCACTTCCTTACTCAAAAACTTCTGGTCTGGTCCATTAGTCCACATCTGTTTCTAGTCACAATTACATTATTATAAACTACCTTTTAACCAACAAAACATGAGTGATTTATTTCCTGTTTGCTTTGTCAAAAGAAGACTGAATATTTCAAATGGTTTTCAAAATGTCAATAAATATTATATAAAAATATGTACACACAAGTGCCAAAGGGAAAGGACAAAAACTTGTTACAGAACATATCAAGTTCACCAGTGACAAGGAAAACAAATGTGGAAAGAATTCACCATTCAAGTACCACTATTGCAATCTGATACCACAACACCAAGGGACACTGCATTCATAATGAAGTCCTAACAATATATGTTTAGGAAAAAATTAAAAATTGATAGCCAATATACACATACTGTAACTTCAAAACAGTTGTAGATACTATTCTATTATAGTATTCAATACTTATATAAGATTAAGAATATTCAGTCTCAAATGATGTGCGACAGACAAAACACAGTCCAATATGAGAATTATACTTTAATTACAGGATTGCAGTGCAGGGACAACAGTGAATGTGGTTTCAGCAGAATATATTTCTAATGAATTATGGATTCAAAATGGTAACAATCAATGGTACAAGGCCACTCCTAATCCCACAACAGGCGCTGTTGCATCCTGGGCATTTAATTTGGAAAATACTGGGTACCAGCTAGATATATATATGATGATGGACTGGAATATGGATTTCACATACGCATCTAATGGGGACTATGAGATTCATTTCGAATCAGGTGATTGTAAATAATTTTCTCTTTTATATTTAAAATGTCACTAGAATGCTATTAATGAAATGCCAACATGTTCGCAATTTTCAAGTGATATTCCATGTTCTTAACTGATGTTGAATTAGAAAGAGATGAAACCCCATTTCTTTTCACCAGCATATATAGAAATGTATTAAAAATCTGGTAGTAAAGAATTGTCTTTTTGAAATACAGTCATCAATCTCCAAATCAACTAAAAATCAACAAATCAAAACAAGGCATTAGCATGCAATATGTCACCACCTGACATTTGCTACATTTGTGACAGAGACATCTCTGAATGCTACATGCCACCTGCCGAACACAGAACACCATTCACAAAAAAAGTAGGAAACTTAAACAATATGTCAACACTTGTGGTGGTGACATGAAAACTGTATTGCTTGAAAACCTATGCCCAATATTATTCTGTATAATTATTATTCATTCATCAAACACAGCAAACAATCGCCAAACATGCTTAAGTTACATCTAGCAATTTTTGATTAATATGTTCATTTATTTTCAGGAGCTGCAGCCTCTGCTAAAATTCACTGCAGTAATGCAGGTTGGTCTTTTGATGGTGCTGGTAATAAGTGTCCAGGTTCATTCCCAATGAGTGTTGACTCATTTTTCAACAAGGGCAATCTGGGTATTCCTACAGGAGTCCAAGCCGGCACAATTCACCAGGACACCACACATAATATACTATACTTGTTCAAAGATGATTGGGTTTATGAATCCAGGGCAGCAATTGGTTCAACTGGGATAAGCGTATTTGATCTGACAGCAACGTACCATAAAGATGATGCAACAGCACCAACCAACATTTTCAAGGGAGGAATACCATATGGGATAACGGCAGCAGCTCGGTTGCCAAATGACTTGTTTGGATTTTTTGTTGGAGAACATTACTATGTTTATGACTTAACAACCGAAACATTATCAGGTCCAACATGTGTAAATCAAGCTTAATACATGTATCTTTGGATTGCTACCACAAAACAATTGGTAGTACGATTAATCGCTCTTTCGGCATGGAAAAGTTTGAAAATTGATTTTTTATTTTAACTCTGATTTTGACTCGAGTCAGACTTCAGCTCAGTTGAGTCTAATGCAATATATACTTACATATCATGCACTTTCTTAAAAATGTTAGGCTTGTTTCCTAAAAAGAGGATCTTGATTTTCTCAATTTGAACATATCGAAAGTTTCTTCTACATTATACAGGGTGTCAAATAAGTCCTGCCCCCCCCCCTACAGCCAAGACGAAGTTATATGGTACCAAGTGTGATATATCATTAGAAAGGTCTTCCAAAGTTATGTTGATTGGCATATATCTGACACATGTCAGTCAATCTCACAAATTTTTACATTATATCAATTGAGGTGAAACATGGCAATTTGGGGTATTTGGCAGGATTTTAAGAATTGGGTATAAGAAAAGTCAAAGGACCTAAAGATGACTATATATGTATATGGCAATGAATTCAACCAATTTCTGGATAGGGTTAGATGTGTAGAAAATAGAGGTGCATGGAAAAATGGTGAAAACCTTTTTCTTTCAAGTTGAATGCGAAAAAGATGAGGTGAATAGGTGAATTTCATCCAAAATACTTGATAGTTGGTGAGTTAACATACCTTTGAATGGTCTTTCCAATGGAATATCACACCAGGTACCATCTATTAAGGTTTTAGCTGAAGCAGGGGGACAGGACTTATTTGACACCCTGTATTAACAATTTCTGAAAAGAGGATGGGTATTGAAATGCGTAGTTAAAAACCACATATCCCATGTTATTTTTTCCATAGGGAAAACTCGTGCTTTCCATTGTTTTCAGCATAATTTTGGTAACCGAAAATTCATATCTTTAAAACTAGACTTTCATACCATTCTACTTTTGAAGAAGTTTTAGACCCCTTGTTGAATAATCTTTTCATGTAATAAAAAATCAAAAGATCCTCTTTTGAATAAATAGGTTAACATTTTGTAAAATTGTTGACATGGGGCCCATATTCAATAATTTTTTGTATTGTTTGATTGATATTTTTATCATCCTGGGTACTTCACTTGAAAGAAAAGATATTGTTTTAATTAAAACCACTGTATACTTATGATGAGATATGACTGTCTTAAATCTTGCCATACTCACGGTAAGGTATCCTAACTGCGCGCATATCTAAAAATGGCAGACAAGGAGGATACGACTCCCATAAGGATGAAAAAGCACTTGAAATACAAGGTTAGTTTTGTTTATCAGATATTACCATTATGTGAGGACTATATTACTTTACAAATAACACTTGATTTTTTCCTGGTGTAAACCTAGTTATCTCAATATAAGGTTCCTTAGGAGCTTTGTGTTCAAAATATACAGTGTTGCGTCATATAATGTCTGTTTGTTGTAGTTTGAAGTTTATTCAGCCCTTGTGTTTGCATATACTGAAAGATACAGGATTGCTGCATATAGTTTAAGTAATATAGTATTTTATATTTCTGTGAAAAGTGCGACATCTTAACATATGTGTAGGTAATCGAAAAACCAATGACAATTTTTTATCAATCATCTGTTTATATTTTAAAACCTACGTTCATCTAAACATAACTTTTGCTATCACATGGTAGAATCATATAATCGCCACAGAATGGACGTATGAAACTATAAAACAATTCAGAATAAATGTCTTAAAATGTTGTTTGAAAACACTTGTATGATGCAATGTTGATATGCGCGCAGTTTGCATTTTGGCTACCGCGGCGTGATACTGCACATGAACCAGTTGGACCTTTAGGTTTTGATTACTTTTATGCTGCCAAAACGAGAAGTTAAGGTCTCAGCTTCATTTTGGTTTTCAAGATTTGCTAGAATTTTTGTGATTTGGAGCATAATAATGCATTGGATGGTAAGTTTTAGAAGCTTACTGTATTAATTCTAATAAATGCACAGTGCCTCTCCCAAATTTCCCAGCAGGGGCCGTCTCAAATAAAACTAGAAAACTGCAACTCCAAGGAGTAGCAAATTCCACCAAACAAAATATGTCTTGATAAACAGCAGCCATCTTGAAAATTTCTTCTTGAGCAGAACACCCTTGTCACTAGGCATTGGCAATGAAACTTGAACCAAATCCATGAATGAATCAGGGGAGTTTTTTCATGCTAATCGCTAATGTTAATCATCCAAAAAACATCAATACACTTTAAAACATTTTATTGACTATAAGATTGCACCACATAATCCCCAAAAATTATATCTCATTTTCAAGAATTATCTATTATCTATCCAGGATTCATACCCAGGTATTTTCATTTTACAAACTTCAGAGGACTGGGAATATTTGATCCTATTTGCTTTTGAATAAACTGAATAATAAATGGTGTCTTCATGTATGCCAATAATTTTTCAAAATTGTGTAAATGATACACATTCCCTAATTTTGCTTCAAGACCTAGGACTACAGGTATCTACTCTAACAACAGTTGCTAGAGTAGAAAGTCCAGGGTCTTGAAGCAAGACTAGGGAATTTATTCCAAATATTTTACACATTTGAACATCATTCAATTTCCTATGAACCTCCCATATTTCATGACCATCAGATATGTCAGACTGATAGCTATAATATAGCAGCACTTGAACAACATGCGCTGTAGGCAAACCTGCACAAGTTGTCAATTACCATTCTGATTTATCATATCAGGTCCCAATCAGTCAGTGATGCTAGGTAAGCTTATTTGTGGCAGGATATTGAAGATTTACTTTTTGAGAATCAGGTAATTGAGTAATCTATTCGATTAAACATGTGTCAATCAATTTATCTATGATCGATTAAAACTTCACACCTCTAATTCTTAGGGAGCCTCAGCATGTATTCCTGAATGCAACCAACCTGCTATTTTATGGGCAACTCGTTTAAATATGAATAGTACCTCCCGTTATTCCATTCATTTTTAAATGAGTACAAATAAAGAGTCTAACCTTAAAAAACGAGTTCATTGCCTTGCAAAAAATGTTCTTAAAAAAGCAATTTTTATATCACACAAGTTGTTTTTGGGAATATCTAAGATCACATAATATCTAAGATCATCTCTGATGTAGTTTTAAACTTCCATGATGATCACATCCAGAATAAAAAAAAGCAATGTCCTTCTAAAAAAGCTCTCCTTATCGGGGGTTCTCCTTTGAAATCACATACTGAGTTATCATCACCTTGCAATGATGGGTATTGAAATATGATGCAAGTGTTTCGGACCAAATGTTTGTAGTGGCTGCCGCATCATCATATTCCTCTGTCAAAGGAGACCCGGGACAGTGAATGTAATCAATTAACAGATAGAAAATAATTCCTGATGCGGAAATCACATATTGCTCAAATGATTTTTAGATTCAAATACCAAATTGTTCTTCAACTATAAACAGGAAATAATGAATAATTAGGTAGAAGGGATAATCAATGTAGCCTTTTAGGCGCTATCACAATAATCTAGGAAGTACTGTAAAACATGTTGAAATTATGTTTGGAATCATCACACTTTCTGAAACTCTAAACAGCTTCTGTGTCCTGATAATCTTTTGTCTAATGGCATCAATGGAAAGACCATTCATGATGGACTAAAACTTTTTAGAAACAAATCATACAGTAATATTTTCATTGAATAATTCAAAATAGCCAACAAGAAATTTACCAAGCATGTCCAAAACCTAATCAGATCTTTGCATTAGTCTGCTCTTGCATCTGTAAAATTTCATGTTGAACAAGTGGAATTTTTATCACAAAAGACGACTAAAATAGGTAGCACTTTGAGAAAGTGAGAAAAACATTTACAGCATGGCAAGTATCTTTTGTGTTGTGGTGGTCATTACAGTTCTTATCCATGGATTACTACTGATGGATATTCAAAAACTTTATAATCATAAATGTATCTATAAAATCAGATATCATTAAGTGTAAGTAAACATGCTTAAAAGTACACCAAGGTACAAGTAATCAATTAAGTAATCAATTCTGCGTGGTCCAAGAGTTCAATAAAAGACTGCAACTTCGGCAGAAGGCAAACAACTTCATTAAGTTTAACAGAAACAAAGTACCAAAAGAGGAACAATTTAAAAACGTTATCGCTTGAGAAATTGCACTGATAAAATGAAACTTTTGTTGATTGTCACACTTTTTGGGATGGGGAATGCAGAAAACAAATTGGAGAATTTATTTACAAGATACACTGACAATCTTCTTGGAGATGTAATTTCAACATTAGAAACTAAAAGTAGAATTGAATGTGCAGAGAAATGTTCAAGTTTAGAAACATGTGGGTTTTATTCAATCCATAAAATAGGAGTGAGACAATGGAATTGTGAGTTGATATCAAACACATACTTGGCAATTTCTTCTATAAATACAAGTATCAAGTACTTTATCAAGGTAAGAAGGTGATTTCGTTTTTGAATTTTGAAAGGGGAAAGTTAATTGCTTCTTTACTTTTAGAATTTTGGGAAGTACAATTATACTAATTAAATTTTAAATGGTAATTAGCAAGTACTTCATCCTTTGTCCTTTGCAGAACTTTTATATCATAAAAATATTAATTCTTTTAAAACCACTCAATTTACAAATACATTCTGTTTTAGTTAGCCGAAGGAATAAATATCCAAACAACAGATGCACCAACCACATCAGCAACAACAGTAGTACAAACAACAGCTGTTCCAACAACAGCTGTACCAACAACTGTTCCAACAACAGCTGTACCAACAACTGTTCCAACAACAGCTGCACTAACAACTGTTCCAACAACAGCTGCACCAACAGCTGTACCAACAACAGCTGCACCAACAACTGTTCCAACAACAGCAGCACCAACAACTGTTCGAACAACAGCTGCACCAACAACTGTTCCAACAACAGCTGCACCAACAACTGTTCCAACAACAGCTGCACCAACAACAACAGCAGAGCCAACAAATCCTCCTTTGGTGAGTATACCAATTTGCTAAACAAAAAAACATAAAAATAAAATGTCCTGGTAATGAAACACTGCATGTTCACGAACTTATAAAATATAACTGCTAGTATTTCCTTGATATTTTACAAGGCACTCATTCAAGCTCAAAGGGAAAAAGCAGGGTGCATCTTAACTGGGAACCTGGGGGACCATGGACACCTCTTTTTTACATGGACCACTTCCTTACTCAAAAACTTCTGGTCTGGTCCATTAGTCCACATCTGTTTCTAGTCACAATTACATTATTATAAACTACCTTTTAACCAACAAAACATGAGTGATTTATTTCCTGTTTGCTTTGTCAAAAGAAGACTGAATATTTCAAATGGTTTTCAAAATGTCAATAAATATTATATAAAAATATGTACACACAAGTGCCAAAGGGAAAGGACAAAAACTTGTTACAGAACATATCAAGTTCACCAGTGACAAGGAAAACAAATGTGGAAAGAATTCACCATTCAAGTACCACTATTGCAATCTGATACCACAACACCAAGGGACACTGCATTCATAATGAAGTCCTAACAATATATGTTTAGGAAAAAATTAAAAATTGATAGCCAATATACACATACTGTAACTTCAAAACAGTTGTAGATACTATTCTATTATAGTATTCAATACTTATATAAGATTAAGAATATTCAGTCTCAAATGATGTGCGACAGACAAAACACAGTCCAATATGAGAATTATACTTTAATTACAGGATTGCAGTGCAGGGACAACAGTGAATGTGGTTTCAGCAGAATATATTTCTAATGAATTATGGATTCAAAATGGTAACAATCAATGGTACAAGGCCACTCCTAATCCCACAACAGGCGCTGTTGCATCCTGGGCATTTAATTTGGAAAATACTGGGTACCAGCTAGATATATATATGATGATGGACTGGAATATGGATTTCACATACGCATCTAATGGGGACTATGAGATTCATTTCGAATCAGGTGATTGTAAATAATTTTCTCTTTTATATTTAAAATGTCACTAGAATGCTATTAATGAAATGCCAACATGTTCGCAATTTTCAAGTGATATTCCATGTTCTTAACTGATGTTGAATTAGAAAGAGATGAAACCCCATTTCTTTTCACCAGCTTATATAGAAATGTATTAAAAATCTGGTAGTAAAGAATTGTCTTTTTGAAATACAGTCATCAATCTCCAAATCAACTAAAAATCAACAAATCAAAACAAGGCATTAGCATGCAATATGTCACCACCTGACATTTGCTACATTTGTGACAGAGACATCTCTGAATGCTACATGCCACCTGCCGAACACAGAACACCATTCACAAAAAAAGTAGGAAACTTAAACAATATGTCAACACTTGTGGTGGTGACATGAAAACTGTATTGCTTGAAAACCTATGCCCAATATTATTCTGTATAATTATTATTCATTCATCAAACACAGCAAACAATCGCCAAACATGCTTAAGTTACATCTAGCAATTTTTGATTAATATGTTCATTTATTTTCAGGAGCTGCAGCCTCTGCTAAAATTCACTGCAGTAATGCAGGTTGGTCTTTTGATGGTGCTGGTAATAAGTGTCCAGGTTCATTCCCAATGAGTGTTGACTCATTTTTCAACAAGGGCAATCTGGGTATTCCTACAGGAGTCCAAGCCGGCACATTTCACCAGGACACCACACATAATATACTATACTTGTTCAAAGATGATTGGGTTTATGAATCCAGGGCAGCAATTGGTTCAACTGGGATAAGCGTATTTGATCTGACAGCAACGTACCATAAAGATGATGCAACAGCACCAACCAACATTTTCAAGGGAGGAATACCATATGGGATAACGGCAGCAGCTCGGTTGCCAAATGACTTGTTTGGATTTTTTGTTGGAGAACATTACTATGTTTATGACTTAACAACCGAAACATTATCAGGTCCAACATGTGTAAATCAAGCTTAATACATGTATCTTTGGATTGCTACCACAAAACAATTGGTAGTACGATTAATCGCTCTTTCGGCATGGAAAAGTTTGAAAATTGATTTTTTATTTTAACTCTGATTTTGACTCGAGTCAGACTTCAGCTCAGTTGAGTCTAATGCAATATATACTTACATATCATGCACTTTCTTAAAAATGTTAGGCTTGTTTCCTAAAAAGAGGATCTTGTTTTTCTCAATTTGAACATATCGAAAGTTTCTTCTACATTATACAGGGTGTCAAATAAGTCCTGCCCCCCCCCCCCTACAGCCAAGACGAAGTTATATGGTACCAAGTGTGATATATCATTAGAAAGGTCTTCCAAAGTTATGTTGATTGGCATATATCTGACACATGTCAGTCAATCTCACAAATTTTTACATTATATCAATTGAGGTGAAACATGGCAATTTGGCGTATTTGGCAGGATTTTAAGAATTGGGTATAAGAAAAGTCAAAGGACCTAAAGATGACTATATATGTATATGGCAATGAATTCAACCAATTTCTGGATAGGGTTAGATGTGTAGAAAATAGAGGTGCATGGAAAAATGGTGAAAACCTTTTTCTTTCAAGTTGAATGCGAAAAAGATGAGGTGAATAGGTGAATTTCATCCAAAATACTTGATAGTTGGTGAGTTAACATACCTTTGAATGGTCTTTCCAATGGAATATCACACCAGGTACCATCTATTAAGGTTTTAGCTGAAGCAGGGGGACAGGACTTATTTGACACCCTGTATTAACAATTTCTGAAAAGAGGATGGGTATTGAAATGCGTAGTTAAAAACCACATATCCCATGTTATTTTTTCCATAGGGAAAACTCGTGCTTTCCATTGTTTTCAGCATAATTTTGGTAACCGAAAATTCATATCTTTAAAACTAGACTTTCATACCATTCTACTTTTGAAGAAGTTTTAGACCCCTTGTTGAATAATCTTTTCATGTAATAAAAAATCAAAAGATCCTCTTTTGAATAAATAGGTCAACATTTTGTAAAATTGTTGACATGGGGCCCATATTCAATAATTTTTTGTATTGTTTGATTGATATTTTTATCATCCTGGGTACTTCACTTGAAAGAAAAGATATTGTTTTAATTAAAACCACTGTATACTTATGATGAGATATGACTGTCTTAAATCTTGCCATACTCACGGTAAGGTATCCTAACTGCGCGCATATCTAAAAATGGCAGACAAGGAGGATACGACTCCCATAAGGATGAAAAAGCACTTGAAATACAAGGTTAGTTTTGTTTATCAGATATTACCATTATGTGAGGACTATATTACTTTACAAATAACACTTGATTTTTTCCTGGTGTAAACCTAGTTATCTCAATATAAGGTTCCTTAGGAGCTTTGTGTTCAAAATATACAGTGTTGCGTCATATAATGTCTGTTTGTTGTAGTTTGAAGTTTATTCAGCCCTTGTGTTTGCATATACTGAAAGATACAGGATTGCTGCATATAGTTTAAGTAATATAGTATTTTATATTTCTGTGAAAAGTGCGACATCTTAACATATGTGTAGGTAATCGAAAAACCAATGACAATTTTTTATCAATCATCTGTTTATATTTTAAAACCTACGTTCATCTAAACATAACTTTTGCTATCACATGGTAGAATCATATAATCGCCACAGAATGGACGTATGAAACTATAAAACAATTCAGAATAAATGTCTTAAAATGTTGTTTGAAAACACTTGTATGATGCAATGTTGATATGCGCGCAGTTTGCATTTTGGCTACCGCGGCGTGATACTGCACATGAACCAGTTGGACCTTTAGGTTTTGATTACTTTTATGCTGCCAAAACGAGAAGTTAAGGTCTCAGCTTCATTTTGGTTTTCAAGATTTGCTAGAATTTTTGTGATTTGGAGCATAATAATGCATTGGATGGTAAGTTTTAGAAGCTTACTGTATTAATTCTAATAAATGCACAGTGCCTCTCCCAAATTTCCCAGGAGGGGCCGTCTCAAATAAAACTAGAAAACTGCAACTCCAAGGAGTAGCAAATTCCACCAAACAAAATATGTCTTGATAAACAGCAGCCATCTTGAAAATTTCTTCTTGAGCAGAACACCCTTGTCACTAGGCATTGGCAATGAAACTTGAACCAAATCCATGAATGAATCAGGGGAGTTTTTTCATGCTAATCGCTAATGTTAATCATCCAAAAAACATCAATACACTTTAAAACATTTTATTGACTATAACATTGCACCACATAATCCCCAAAAATTATATCTCATTTTCAAGAATTATCTATTATCTATCCAGGATTCATACCCAGGTATTTTCATTTTACAAACTTCAGAGGACTGGGAATCATTGATCCTATTTGCTTTTGAATAAACTGAATAATAAATGGTGTCTTCATGTATGCCAATAATTTTTCAAAATTGTGTAAATGATACACATTCCCTAATTTTGCTTCAAGACCTAGGACTACAGGTATCTACTCTAACAACAGTTGCTAGAGTAGAAAGTCCAGGGTCTTGAAGCAAGACTAGGGAATTTATTCCAAATATTTTACACATTTGAACATCATTCAATTTCCTATGAACCTCCCATATTTCATGACCATCAGATATGTCAGACTGATAGCTATAATATAGCAGCACTTGAACAACATGCGCTGTAGGCAAACCTGCACAAGTTGTCAATTACCATTCTGATTTATCATATCAGGTCCCAATCAGTCAGTGATGCTAGGTAAGCTTATTTGTGGCAGGATATTGAAGATTTACTTTTTGAGAATCAGGTAATTGAGTAATCTATTCGATTAAACATGTGTCAATCAATTTATCTATGATCGATTAAAACTTCACACCTCTAATTCTTAGGGAGCCTCAGCATGTATTCCTGAATGCAACCAACCAGCTATTTTATGGGCAACTCGTTTAAATATGAATAGTACCTCCCGTTATTCCATTCATTTTTAAATGAGTACATGTAGGTCATGAAAAATTAGCTTAATCCGGTAACCCACAGGCGTTCGTTGCACTTGCCAATACAAGCTCAATATCTGATACTTTTTTCTCGCATGTCAATGAATGTTTTTAAATAGGCTAGAATGGATTATTGATAATAGAATAGGTGCATATCTAGTACAAAGTCCCAGTTTATACTCAATTTTTAGAGAAGAAAATTAACCTAACTTTCGATTCAATATATATTACCTTATTGGATATTGAAACTGATAAAAAATCAATCTGTTTCAATAGAATGAGATATTTAATTCCTTTTCCATTATGTTCTTAGCATTATGTTCTTGTTTGTTTCATTGATAGTTACAAAAACAAGAACCCCTGTGATTATGCATATAGATTTAATTGCAATTGTCTTTAAACCAATAATTACAGTTACTAAAGGTAGAATAGCGGTAATTTCTTAGAAAAACTCCAAAATAAATCCTTGGTACCTTAAACCTGCCTTGGAGATTTGGAGACTTACTTTTGTTAAAATACCAGAGTCTGAAAAAATCACTCATCTCGATATCGAAGAAAGAAGTTTCAATCACAGATACTAGTTTTCTGTATGAAAAAAATCAAAATTCTGCAAAAAATTCTGCAAGAAAAAAAGCAAATTCTGCAAGGAGAAAATCGAAATTCTGCACAAATTTTCAAAAAAAGTCCAAATTCTGCAATCTTTTAAAACGGAAACGGAAGTCAGCTACTTTCTAGGTAAGAACTGCGCGTCATTAGCGAACTTGCTTGAGCGAATTTAAACGTGATAGAATGTTCAATATTTCACAATGAAATCGTACTTGTACTAAATAATGATTGATTGTTGGACATAAACAGACACTCTTCAAATACCCCGCAAAGGTAGGAGATCGTAAAATATGTAATTTCTGGAAATTCTGGTAATTCCACGGGATTTTCATGAAAATCAGGGATTCTGCAAAAAATTGAAGTTTTGTCAAATTCCGTCCACGCCGCGGAATTACGGAATACTAGTAACTATGTTCAATTTTGATAAACTGTGTGAGCAAAATACAAGTTCAGATAAAAGGTTTTCGTTCCAATTTTAATTACATCACCTAGTGGCAGTCAATTTTCCCATGCAAATGCCAAAAGGCAAAACTAAGTAAAAGAAACATGGCCACCTAATGTAAGTTGATCGAGTTAAATTGATATTTTCGATTGAAGGAAGAAAAATTTTCACAATAATCTCAAACTCCGTTTGACGTGTTCTTCATCACATTTTGTTGATACATACCAGAACTTAATAGTTCATATCCATTTAACAAAGCCACAAAAGAGTAGGTAGAGCTAAGGAAGTGGAATAAACAGTCCATGAGTCCATGAATACTTTTTATTTTTCCTCTAAGAGCTACATTTAAAAATTTCAAGTTGATCAGATAATATTGTGTTTTTGAATTAAATCCTGGTTAATGGGATTGATCACTCGAGCAATCGTTACACCTCTTGCGTATCTCTTCTCACCCCACACACGATGGTAACTATACATTCCAGCATCTTGCACTCAGTCAGTCGAACAGTCAACATAATCATTTCATCATACTCACAATACCATCTTTAATACATTTTGCACTGAATTACACTTTTTGAAAGGCAATAGACATCAGATAGCAGCATCATTTCCCAAACAATGTTGCAACAAAAATATTTCGGTTTATTATCAAATACATGTAAGAAACTGCCAATGAGGGCTTTCTGAACCCACAGGTGATACCAAATCATGTTAGTGAATAAGGATGTTTAAGTTTTCAAGCTGAGATGGACAAACATTCTACATCTAGGATATCTCCTCGTATATTATGTGCACAATAGGTTAAAGCTTCAAATTACATTTAAAAACTTACGATGATCATTTCACCGGTTCATCATTATCATTTAACATAAGGTTGAAGGTGGGATCAATTTAGTTTAGGATGAAAAAAAATTAGTATGTAGGAATATTAGTAGGAAAAAGTATCTACCGAGCAATCCAGAAAATCGTCACATCACTCAGCGATACACACTTCCAGCAACCAGCATCACCCGACCTTTAGTCTGAACTGATCGCCTCAATACTTCAACTACAGTGAGCTAACTAGAGAATCCGAGAAAAACTCCCCTTTTTGTATAACTAAGGATGTTTAACTGAAGAACTATATCGAGGAACAGATTTGATTACACAAAAGGGAAATCTCGCCAATAAACTACATAGATACCTAAGGAAGAAGACAACATTCAAGAGACTACACCATGTTATCTGAAGGTGATGGAATGACCAAGGAGGATTGGCTACCACGATCGAAACTTCATAATTTTCAACAATGAAAACGTTGAAATGTCGTTATTTTCTGAAATTAAAACCAATTATGTACTAAATACATTTTATAGTAAAAAAAAAAAAAATATACACAACATCACTTTAAGTGAACAAAATGGCGGCTATTTGAATTCGAATTTTGTACCACAACATGCCCATATACACACTACCTTACCACGTGACCACGTTTAAAAGGGAAACAGGGTACAGTTAAGTTGCAAATGGAGGACGTGGGTTTAATTCCATATTTCTGAACATAAAATACATTTTACATTTATTTCTAGTGTTCTACCAGACATAAAATAGATTCCTCAAGCAGTTTGTCGAATATTGTTGACAAAAAACCATATAGGCAAAGATAGAGAATAGTGGGTGCAGTGAAGTAAAACTTGAAAGCAATACAAGATACATTTCAGTAAATCTATTAACATACAAGAAGCGTGTAAGTTTCATTTCGAAAATGTTACTTTTTTGACATTGATATGTCACAAAAAAAACAGATAACTGTTATTAACACTGCGTGTCAGTGTGTTATGTGAAGACACGTTTTCTAGTATGTTATTCAACTGTATTTTTGTGCATTAATTGTTTTCTAAAATCTTAAGATGAATAAAAAGTCGTCCCATAAATGTATCTTAACTTTGCCATAAGGCAGAACATATTGTAAAACATTTTTCCTGTTTTGAGATGTCTGGTGATGAGCGTTTCATGATTAAATGCAAAATCACTGGAGCAGATACCATCCAAAAACATCTGACATTCAACATGTCAAATAAGACTACATAGATCTGGTAATAGTTTTCAGAGTGAAGAGTATGGGTTAAGCATATAGTTATAGTATTATGAATCCACTTCCTACAAATACATTAATTATACAGCACTATGTCCAGTCAACATTCAAAATGGCAGCAGTACGCGGTAAACACGATAAACATAAGTCATATTCTGCAACGAATATGGCATATTCACTTGCGGTGTATGCCAGATTCACTGCGGTATATGGCATACACACTAACCAATGAGAACGCGATACAGAAGTTCGCATTTGTCAATTACATCGATTCAACGAACGTGCTAAAGTCTATAAATTATTATTGAGATTACTGAATCAACATCTTAGTGCATTGAATATATCAACTAATACAATTGAATAACATACACCAGTACGGTACCTGTATTGTTTGATGTTGTTTTGTGTATGTGTTACACGGGAAACATAATGGCGCATAGATAAACGAACCTACATTCGTGAAGCAAGTGACTTTTATAGCCAAATCAAAACTTTCAAAAATCATGAGTATTTATATCTTGTTGTATTGGCATTCACGAATTACACATTTCAAATACTTTCAGGAGTATCATTCAGCAACGACATGTAATAAACATATGTAATCAATCCAGGATTCATTTATATTTACTAACTATAGCGCTAACTATATTGGTAATCCAGTGTAGTTTTAGATTTAGAATCGATTTTCGACCAATCAAATCGAGGCTTTCTGTATCACATTTTCATCTCTGGTATATGGCATATTCCGCAGTTGAGCATGCCATATTCCGCAGGAGAGTATGACATATTCCACAGTGAGATATCTGGTATTCACTGAAATCAATGTATCGCATATTCGCTGCGAAATATGCCATATACAGCAGGTGAGTATGGTACGTTTACCCGTATCACAAATACCACACAACCATGAATATTTGCCATATTCCTCGTAACACCATGCTCATATAGTTATTTTGCAGTTTTTGGCAAGTATTTCCATATACAGTATTTGAAATATTCTAATGACGCCCCTTGTATGCATTCGTGCATCAATGCACTCTATTGAAACGTATCATTCCTTCTATTATTCATTATATTCTGGTTTTGAATGTCAAATACAGCTCCATGTACCACTGGATTAGGATATCAAGTGCATTAGAAATAATGATTGGCACATGTATGTTGTTATTGAAAATGAAGAATAGATCAATTACGTTTAGTCAGTTCAAAAATATACTATCACACTATTGTACAAAACATGATTCTAGTATATTACTGAGTATCTCAGAATTGGTTTTGGTATAACACCAGCAAATCGTTCTGTATAATCAGCTTACTTTCTCGCTCCCTGTACTATTGAACAATTTACATTCCTTGCACCCTGTATTGATCAACTTTTGACTTTCTACCCTGTTCTAATCATATCAAATATTTTAAAATTTAAAACGCTATTATTTATATTCTTTCTTCAACCATCGTATAACTTTGAACATGGAATTCACTATTTCACCATGTAGTTCAGTGAATAACAATATTGACTCACTCCGAGCACCAAACATATTAACCTTTAGACTAAGCAGTCGATACACTCAAAAGCGACCTGGTTGAAAGCCAAAAATCTCGCACATGCGGGATTGAGGTAGGGTAGTGTGATATATGGGACAGAATATCAACATTGCACCCTGGGAGCCAATCCTCTTTGGGAATAACTAAAGAGAAAACCCTTGCGACTTGGCATGGTTAGCTTCTCAATGTCTATGTGATGAACTATATGTTAGCTGTTGGACGAATTGTCCACCATGTGTGACATTGAACAACATTACTATTGATTCCAGTATTCCACTGTCACACCGGAATTATGCCAACAGTAAAGTCAGATACCGTTGTCACAAATGGCAGGCATAGTCGCTTCAATTAGATTTTCATGAACTGTATATTAAATAGAGCACCTAGACTAAATTCCTTTGGAACAACAATCACTCAAAGTATCTTTATACTCATTGTACAGTTAATAATGTTCTACCATCGAAATAAAGTCGTTAGTAATCTTACACTGTATTACCACATGCTATTGTCTTTCTAAATTATTTCAAAATCAGATTCCGTTGTCATTGAGGATATCGAAAACGCTATATTGTGGCGATTCACGACTCAATTTGATCGAAATTGGGATTTCATATGATACATCATCACAAGAGCTTAATACATGCACAGAATTAGCGACAATAAAATCCTATGAAATGAGGACCAAGTGATTATCAAGGGATCACGGTGTCCGCACTCACACCCCTCCGGTGATGACCAGTCTAACAGACAAGCTTCTGCCATCTAACCAACCGCACATGCCTTGTTTTGTTATTATATTGGGATAAGGATTATTTAGACATTAAGTAGTTTTCCTGGAATTTTGATGAAGAGATTTTTGTGATACCTGCCTGCACGGCAAGCGCAGATGTACACACGCTAAGATGTACACACACCTGTTTATAGCAGAAGATGACAATACGATTGCACTTTGAAATAGTACAATGAAAACACGAAGGCCCTTGACCATCTCATCATCCGTCCTTAAAAATGTGATATGGGATCTTTAATTACCTTATCTAATAGGTTTTCTCCCATTCTCTCTTTTTCGTCTTCAACTTCTCTCTTCTTCTTATGCCTTATATCATCTCTAGTCAATGTTGGAATAATATCCAATGGGGCTTCCATCCAACTATCACGCTACAATAATACATTGGTGTGTTATTCCAATATTAAAGGCCTTATACTTAGTATGACATGGGTTTGCTTGACTTACTGCAATTCAACATCTTATATGCAAGATTCTCACTTTTACAACTATACATTAGACTACGAATTTAATATAACAGTAATAAATAGAGGATAAATAGAGGATAAAATGTTGGAAGTAATCTTTTCCCAACACTCCTTATGAAGAATAAAATGAAGCTTTAAGATCTGGAAATGTTGATACTCATTTACAGGGTGTCCCAAACATGTGCCATGATGAACAGGGAATAGCTCTGAGTGATGAAGGAATGTTCTTGAAAAGTGATCATCTGACAGACAATTTAATTCATAAAGTTTAACTGGGTAACTTTACTCTATTTAGTTTTAGACCAAGTTTGTTTTGATACCACCAATTATATTTCATGATGTACTGAGCAACTGATGAAGACATCATATGACAGACAATTCAATAATCATATCAATATCTGAAGGCTTCATTAGGTAACTCTTATATTAGCTTAAGAGAAAAAACTTACCACAACCCATTTTCAATGTTTGAAATTGTACATTGTATCGCACAAACTATGAATTTGTAACTACTTATTGAAAAATAAACATTTTCCTTATCATGTGAAAAGTTTCTACTTTTTACAATGGAGGAAAAAGAGTTGTTCCCATCTTATTTGGGCATACTTTTTGGGACATCTTGTAAAATTTGTTTAAATTGTTATTTTCCTCTTATTTTGTATATCTATTCAGTTGTTAGTCTTGTTTTCACAATTTTTCTCACTTCAAATTCCTTGACTTTCTCATTAAATTCTAAAATTCCCTTTCATATAAGACAATCTGAGGCCTTGTTCTGAAATAACTCCACATTTCCATGACAGGGAATATGTTTTTTGTTCATTCAAAATTACCTGAGCGGTAGGGGGCATAGATGGGCCTTTAACAACAGGTATCTCTTTAGTTGAATGGACTTCCTCCCTCTTTTCTACCCACATCGCTTCCTCTTCTGACGATTCCTAGAATAAGAATAAACTGTTTTAGTCTGTTTTATTATTTTACGTAAATGTAGGGATGGATAGACATAACAGTGCAAAAAATAGTTGCATTTTCTCATACAATTTAGTGTGCTATTATGTATTATTTTAGTATAGGTAAATATATAAGCAAATCCTATTAGGCCATCAGCTTCACCCCACAATTTAGGTTATCAGTATCAAGTTAGGGGAATAATCACCATAGTGATTTTTGTAGGTGTAGACCCTAAGAGTAAGAAAATATGTGATAGCATTGCAACAGTTGTAGCTAAATGAGTGCTATCACCCATTTTTCAAAATGGCCACTGGTGTGTGAGTTACAATATAAAACTAGGTATAGCTAAGCATACTGAGATACAAAAACTGTGATTTTAGGATCTATGTTTGGGTTTAAGGGTCAAGGATGTCTAAATCAGAGTCATAAAATAATTAATTTTCATAGAAACCCAATATGGCTGCCAAAATGGGTGCCAAAACGAATTTGTAACTATTGATTTCAACTCAAAACAAGGCACGGGACGTGAACGAGATCACACCATCAAATAGGTGTAGAACTTGATATCCCCTATCATGTGTGCGAATTTGAAGGAAATCCAATAAGCGTTTTTTTTCTAAAATGGTGATGACAAGATTTATCAAAAAACCTTCAAATGGCCACCAGAAAACAAGATGGCTGCCACAAAGTTAATCAGCTCTAGTACTTGATATCCTCTATCATGTGTGTAAATTTGAAGGAAATCCGATGAGCGGTTTTCCTGAAACGGCGATGACAAGATTTTTCAAAAAACCTTCAAAATGGCCACCAGAAAACAAGATGGCCATCCAAAAGTTAATCAGCTCTAGTACTTGATATCCTCTATCATTTGTGTAAATTTGAAGGAAATCCGATGAGCAGTTTTCCTGAAATGGCGATGACAAGATTTTTCGAAAAACCTTCAAAATGGCCACCAGAAAACAAGATGGCCGCCCAAAAGTTAATCAGCTCTAGTACTTGATATCCTCTATCATGTGTGTAAATTTGAAGGAAATCCGATGAGCGGATTTTCTGAAATGGCGATGACAAGATTTTTCGAAAAATCTTCAAAATGGCTGACAGAAAACAAGATGGCCACCCAAAAGTTAATCAGCTCTAGTACTTCATATGCTCTATCATCTCTGGGAATTTGGAGAAAATCTGAAAGCGGGACGATCACGATCACGACCACGACCAGTATGACGACTATATCCCACCGATGGTGTGATAAAAAAACACATTTAAGAATAGTGAATTTGTAGCACATGTCTACATTTTAAGGGTAAAGGATTTCATTTTATGTCTAAAGCTTTGAATCGTCAAATAATTACTTTTCATAGAAATTCAAAATGGCCACCAAAATGAATGGCAAAATGAATATATAACTTTTGATTTAGAGGGATCCAACACCTTACAAAACTTCTTAACGGAGAGGAATAAGGGAAAATGCTTGCCGGATTCTGAATCTGTGTTTTTTTAATGATTTTTCACCGTCTTAGAATTTCAATTAGACAAATGAGTAAACATGAATAGCTCGAAATCTAACAGTGAGATTTTGTTTTAAAAATCATGGATATCAAGGCTAAATATAGCTATACAATAAACATAAAAAAGCAATGCTTGGACTCTTTATATTCACACAAAAAATTAATTAGTAAATGAGGTTTGATATTTGTGAGAATAAGTTGTACGAGTCGCAATGCTCTACAAACACCAGACTACAGGGTGGATTAGGATCAATGACACACATAAAAATTAATTTAAAAATATTTCATGATAATTATCTCAAACAAAAGCAGTTAGCGAAGGATACATTTCATTACACTCAATAAATAGTTATCACTTTTGACTATATATACATATCTCATGGGAATGTATTTCCATCTGCTCAAGATATCATATTTGAGCTTCGAAAATCACAATCGTTAGATAATACATTTGTCTCAGAATGATAGGCCACCCTGTAGCAATGTAGCTTTCACTTGAAGTGTACCCTTGAGAATAATGAACTTACTTTCAAATTGGTCTTGCTTTTGTGGTGTGGCTTTTTAGCAAATCTGCCACGCTCATTTCTTTCCAGAACCATCTTGTTCACATGTATCACTAGGCTATACGCGCATGTATAGACAGATGACATAGATATACATATAAACTATATACTGCACCTGTATTTACTTACATGGGAATATTCCCTTTGGAAAAATGCAAATGCATGAACATATATTTTCATCTTATATATGACTTCAAGCTAACATATTATTTCATATTTATATTTTCATAGTTAGTCTAACATAAATAATAGATCCATGAGAACAATATTCTTTGTTTTCTTAAAAATTGATGGGTTTACTGTGAATTCAATAAATTACAATTTGCAAGGGGTAAGTATACTGTATGACCTTAGTTGCAAAGTACTGTTTATATATGCAGCTCAATAGCATAAAATATGTTGAATGAAGCATATGGTATGGATTAGTCGTGTGACACACAACCTGAATAATACATGAGGGTATTAGCTACTTTTCACAGAAACCAAAGGAGGACAGTGCTTTTATTTCATCTGGGAGCTTACCTCCACACGACTGATCATGTGACCATGGCGTTGGGTCCCTTTAAGTTATAAAAAAACCCACTTAAGAACAGTGATTTTGGAGCCCATTTGTACATTTTAGGGGTCAAGGATTTCATTTATGTCTAAATCTTTGAGTCATTAAATAATTGCTTCTCATAGAAATCAAAGATGGCCACCAAAATTGGTGCCAAAACGAATATGTTACTTCTGATTTAAGCTCAAAAAATCATTTAAAAACGGTGATTTTGGAGCCCATTTGTACATCTTAGGGGTCAAGGATTTCATTTATGTCTAAATCGAAGTCATCAAATAATAACTTTTTAAAGAAATCCAAGATGGCCACTAAAATGGGTGCCGAAAGGAATATGTAAATATTGATTTAAGCACAAAAAAGAACATTTGAGAACAGTGATTTTGAAGACCATATCTACATTTTAGGGCTCAAGGATTTCATTTATGTCTAAATCCTATCATCGAAACAATTACTTGATATAGGAATCAAAGATGGCCACCAAATTGGATTTCTATGAAAAGTAATTATTTGATGATTTAGACATAAATGAATTCCTTGACCCCTATAATGTAGACATGGGCTCCAAAATCACTGTTCTTAAAGGACAACTGAAATAGCTTTTCTCAACTTGCAGCTACAAAAATGCGGTTTTCTCCATTGTAAGCCCAACGTAGAGTTCTTGCGATAGCCATTATAAAATAAATGTTAGATAACTGCTAACGGTCATAAATAATGAAACAAAACTAACTGATCAATCAAATTGGCCCCCACGTGATAAGTAACGTCATATACAAAATATAGCTTTGGTTTGTTGGTTCCTTAGTAATCACAATGTCACGGCAACCATAGGATTGTAGTGTAAACCAAAACAAAACATTTAGGCATTATGACGTTATGGGCCACGTGGGGACCAGTGAGAGATCACGTGGGGGCCAATAACGTCACAACCAATTCGAATATTGCTTATTAAGCAGCTATAACGATCGTTAGAGTGAAATCGTTTTCGCACTACTGATGAGAAAACATGTCCAAATACATTTATCAAAAAATTATATTGATTCCTGTAGGTTAAAAATACCATTTCATATCTGCTTTAAGTGTTTTAGAGCTTAAATCAATAGTCACATATTAGTTTTGCCATCTATTTTGGCAGCCATCTTGGATTTCTTTAAAAAGTAATTGTTTGATGACTTAGATGTAGACATAAATGAAATCCTTGACTCCTAAAACCTAAACATAGGTCCTAAATTCACATCTCAGGGTGCTTAGATAGGCACCCTTAGATATACCCACTCTTATATTGTAACATGTGCACAGGCGGCCATTTTGAAAAATGGGTGATAACACCCATTTAGCTACAACTGTTGCAATGCTATCACATATTTTCTTACTCTTGGGGTCTACACCTTCCCAAAAATCACAATGGTGATTATTCCCCTGATTTAATACCGACCAAGCCCCTCAGGCTGATGGCCTATATATATGTGCCATTTCCAAAATTCTATTCCACAACATACAAGCACACACAAGGTAACATTATAGATTTGCTAAAGGACGATTCTCGGTTTGGAGAACAGTCTCCTGGGCTAAAAAATCTTTTATGAAAAATATAGAAATATTACCCAAATTAAACTATGAATATTCAAAAGAGGACATTTAAATCTACAAGATGTAAAAATAACAAATTGGTCTGAAGCAGGGATAATGCTCAATTAGACTGATTCAATAAAATACAAGTCTTGATTTTGGGGAAAGAAGTTCATCAGTGTACTCCGCTAATATTTTTTTGCGAAAAATCTAAAAATATTACCCAAATTAAATTATGACTATTCAAAAGAAGACATGCAAATCTATATTATGTAAAAAAAATCAAATTTGTCCGAAGCAGGGATAATGCTCATTTAGATTGAAGAACTTCGTTCTCCAAACCGAGAATCGTCCTTTGCTAAATTGTCAAAAGCAGGGCTTATTTGGAAATCTAATGAAAATCTGATGAATAACTCTTACATGGGTTCCTTTCTAGAAAGCCCGTGTACATTCAATTTAGCCTGTACAGTTTTGCTTAAAATGTTAGGGTCCTTTACAGAGATCAATTGACAATGAGTATTATGTACCGTAGTGATATCTGGGGATTCACCACAAATTTGAATAACTTACTCGATCTCATTAAAAAACCAGAAAACAAACATACAACTGATATGATGTAGATTTATCTTAAATGTTAGCCACAAGTGCAGCAATCTAGGTACAAATGTATACTCAGAGAAACAGGCAGATTTCCCATGTCTCATTACATTCAACTAAATGCAATCAAATACTGGATGCACCTCAAAACTCAAACCAAAAAATGGTCTAACCACTGAGGTGTTCCACCACTTAAAATC